TTTTCCCCTTTAACTGTCTGTCTGATGCGACCACTGACGGTCAATCTCAGCGGGGTATAGCTCGTGGTAGGTTCCACCGAATCCCAAATTTTCGCTCTTTCAGTGCACCAATAAAGTTAGCAAGCAAGGGTTAAGTGGTCATCGATATCGACGGTATCGCAACACCATGGAGGGGATGACGAAGAATACTCCCTTTGCGGTAATGACCGCCGCAGTCATGTCTTCACCGAGAGGAACGCCCATATATCGAGAGATTGCCTACTCTCGTCACCCCTACTCAAAGATCAAGGAAAAGAGAGTTCGCGTGTGGCGAATCAACACACCTCACTCGTTTTTGGAGCTAAGCAATGATGATAGGGATAAGGAACAAGACGCTCGCAGAACCGTGCACGGATTGAAGTATTTGCCCAACATAAGCGAGAAAAGAAAGAACATCGAACAATACGAGACTTACTCAGTGGTGAAGGAAGCTTGGAAAGAACATTGCCAGAAGACTGGGAAGCGGGTGACGGTTTTTCACGTTCAAGAAGAATTGAGGGAGCTCTTAAAGTTGTTAGAGATTCCGTCCATCCCTATAAAGACCGCATTCAAGGGCAAAGACTTCGACCCCTACGGCAAACATTTGACAGAGATTGCCCCCGAGTTCACATGTCAGTTACCGCACGATTATGATCGCCCCTGTCAGGCAACGCTGGCCATGCGATGGGCACTATTTGTCCACGACGCTCTGAAAGAGGTACCGCAAAAACCCAAGACTGATTCCTGGGCAGATAGGGTCGAAGAGGATGAAAAAAAAGAGGCTAACCTCAAGGAAGGTGACAAACCCGCCAAGAAGTGCAATGGAGTATCCAAGGCCAACAGCAAAAAGGAGACAAAATAACAAGTGACACAAGATCATTTAATCGTTAAAAAACAATAAACATGTACAACAGTAAACGTTTGTTTCTTATTCTGTACGTTTTCTCTCCTTGTATGTAATGCGCTTCGCTAACGGTCGTCCGTCGAAAGGCATATTGAACCCGCATAAAGATATGACGCAATTCCACACCCCCAAATCCTGTACCAACGGAAACAAGTCAAAAGGTTTATCGGGATCACTTCCCGCTATGTAGTGACGGGTCCACTGGCGACAACTGAAGACGATGGTAAATTCCACGATCTGATCGAGGTCATCGCCCAAACGTCTCCGTGTCCATCGCTCCAGGCTGTCAAAAACCCGAGATTCCACGTCCTGGGCTTTCTTTAGAGCATCTTTCAAGCCTTTCAGACACCAATCATGCCTTCCATTTAGTAAGGTGATACCAACACTCAGATTAGTCACTTCGATTTGCTCGGTCCAATCCTTGGCCGCTTCTTGTATTTCCCGAGTAATCATAGTCTGCCATATGCCCAAGATTTCTACCGTTTTCGGGAGCGGGAATTGTCCTTCATCGACTTGTCCGCATGAAAAGCCAGTGGGCAACATCGCTTGACGCAGGACACACGGTTTCACAGTTGCGTCCAAAGGCTGTAGTGTACACGGTTCCAATTTATTCAATAAACCTTCCATCGGATCCTTGTCGCAACCAGGACAACGTTGAAGGTGACTATCCTCGATACAGGCCAGATGCACAATTCCCCTCTCACAGCAACGGCGGCGCATTGCATCATTTGACTGGCACGGCTCGAGGCACACTCTGCATATCCACTCCATTTTCGGGGTACTGATCGGAAGAATGGTAGACTTTTTTTATATCCTCTCAAAGAGACGTCATTGGCTATGACGCGGATGACGTTTGTTTTTACGTCATAATACGTTGTATTGACCCGAGTAGGCTGATATTGATGACGTCTAAGGTTTGGCTCTACGTCATAGGGCGCGGTATTTACAAAGTTGAGAGGTTCTCGTACGTCATTGGGTGTGGTGTTAACGTCATTAAAAGGCCTGGTTGCACCTTTCCGCACTGGCCTACAAAAGCGAGCGATCGGTTAGTTTGGGTAGAATTTTTTGTTGAAAGCATGGAAGACCGCCGATGCTTCAGTTGTCGCAGTATTTTGTCTGCTGGCGATCGATTCGACCAGCGCGCCTACCGACGAAATTGTTGCTCTATTTTCATGCATCACGATTGTATTCTGAACAGAGACCTGACCAATTGTCCATCCTGTGGTAGCGAAACCGATGGTTTGATCTGGGAACCCTTGCCAGTTGTCAAAGAGCCGTGTGAAGTTATACTAATCATTGACAGTTCAGACGAAGAGGACAACGACGAGGACCCGATTCCGTGTAAAAGGTTCAAACAGGAAGAGCAAAAGATTGAGTCAACTTGTGTCTTTTGCTTAGAGGAGGAAAAGGATAAACAGGATCCGTTGCTTCAGGCTGAATGTTGTCGCCAATTTGGTCACCTTTCTTGCCTTCGATTGTATTATCGTGTGCCTGCCGAGTGCAAGAATATGGAAAAACGAAACGAGGCCGCGAAAGACCTCGAGGCTCTTAAATGTTTTGTCTGTAGGAAAGAACGTTCTAACGAGGTCGTGGGACTCAGAAAAGTTATCCCAACCTTGCTACCGAGGGTGACGGGTCGCGACAGTGTTATGACGGCAAGGGATGCCAATAAAGTCCTAGATGTGTGGTATGCTATGTTTGAGAAGCATATCAACACCCAGACCAAGCTTTGCAAACATTGGATGAGAATCGATGGTGGCACTGGTTGGGCCATGCGTCGAGATGGCAATATAGAAATGTTTGAATTTCCATGTTCTACCCAGGCAAAAAGAATAGGGGCTTTTAGAGAAGAACTCATGAAAAGCATTAAAAAGATGGTTCGCGTTTGGGCGGGATTGACTAGTGACACTAAGTTTAAAGAGGAAACATTTAGACGATTCTGTTTGGACAACATTGTGGAAGTAACTTTATCGTTTCAGTTGAGCCAGTCTTGTACTTTAAGGCGCCGACCGCAAGGCCAGGAGGTGCCACCATTCTGTACTGAGTCATATTTGGCTAGGCTTTGCACGTGGGAAATGACTGGGCATTTTTTTGATTTCGATGAGATCGTAGACTCAATAAATAGCAAGTGTTTTGTTTGGGACAATAAGCGCCTTCGATAAGCACAGCCCCGATAGATAGGGGGAGACTTTGACTGTTGAAGTTTACCTAGGTTGTATTCGTTGTTGTTTTAAGACTGAAGAAATGATTATCTGACCATTTGAGTATGTAATTTATAGTGTTGATATAGTAAAGGTTCAGTAATGCGTGCTAGCAACTAGTAATGTTTGAGCCTGTACACGTTTACCATCTAGTATTAAATTTTTGCTGGGACTTTTATCAGTTATGATCTTGTGAGATCGTGTGAAACATCGTGGAATGACCACGACAACAATGTTTTAATGCTATGATAGATATACTCAGTCTCCAACGGCCACGGGAAAACCGTCTGGTTCGCCGATATATAGTTTAAAGGATGAAAGTGCAACTCTGTGCCTTAAATCAGTGCCCATTTTACGCGAGGCGCATCGTCAGAACAATAATGATCAACAAACTACTTTGGGAACGTGACTGAATAAAACGCTGACCCCATTCCTAGCCATTCGAGGACACTGGTTGTCATACAAAGGCAAAATTTGCCAATGATAGAGTGGCTTTTTGAGCGTCTCCCCCCTTGCCTGAAAAAAATAAAAACCTGTCAACAGACCACATCTCATAAATTCAAAAACTTTATTTATAGATAGATATTCATTCCCAAATTGAACAATGTTTTCACGCATCTGAAAATCTTCGATCCTTGGCCTTTATTCGATTCACGATCCTTTGGATTTGAACCATCGCCATCGTTCCGCATTCAAGCTGCACCCATTGAAATTCTCTCACCCATTTGCGCACCCATTGCCACCAAGCATTTTCATTTTCGTCTTGCCTCTCTTGACCCGCTGTCTTTGTTTGCGACCGAGGCTCTTCCACAAGGTAGAATAATTGATGGGGATCATTCTCGAGATCGTATTCGACTTGACGCAAAGTTATAGCTTCAACATCTAGAACGCAACAATGACGTTCAAAGGCATCGAGGTCACCGATATTTTCTTCAAAAAACTGCGTCACAATATCGAGTCCGTCCCATTTCCCTATCTTGTAAAATAAATAGAACAAATGCATCAAGCTAAGGCACCTATTCATTTCCATCGCGTTATTACGGCGCTCTATATTCACTTTGTGGTACCGCTCGGTCCTCCCGGGAGTTTTTCTCGTTATGGTTTGATCTAGTGAGGTAATGACCAGTGTTATGTCTTGCGAAAGCGTCTGATCTAGGCATTCACTCACTCCGTCCAAAAATTCCAGGATTTTGACAACATGGAGATTAGCTTGTGCGGCTAGGCTCTGTCGGCATTGGCCCCACGCTGTAGGTCCTAGCGCTCTAACGTTGCTATTAAATCGCACCCAAGCCTGCTGAACGTCTTTAAAGCTATTGGGCGGAAAACTGTAATTCATCAAAAGGGGGCAATGGAAGTTCACCATGCTATTCAAGTCACCATAAACGTATTCTCCGTCTTGAGCTTCCTTTGCGATCAAAGAGGCCATTGCTTGGTCATCCGAAGGCAAATGTGGAGGTTCTTTGATTGACCATGCTTTACTGAGATTGAAAGCAGTCTCTTCCGTCTTGTTATCTGAATCATACAGAGACGAATAGATCAGGTCTGAGATGAGACGCAAGGCAGTTCTTCGATTTTTGTGAATGTCGGGCGAGGGCCGAAGACCTGGGAGATCGTTTGGTCTTTTTTTCATATAAGACATGATGAACGAAAAGGTTATGATCTTGGATGAAGCGTGTCTGGCTTTTATAGAAACGAGACGTGATAAAATCGTCTTGTTACGTTAAAATTTGCACAATTCTATTACGAAAGCGATGTCGTGGCACCGCTCACATGACATCACTTATGTTACAATGACGTGAAAATGAAGCAACCACCCATGAATGTCATAAATGCTATATGCATTTTAATTATACAATTTAATGATTTAAAGGTAGATCTTAACGGTAAATACAAAATAAGCGAATCATTGTTTTTGCGAGAGAGCAGTGCTCTGTAGATTCGCCACACGTATCGTCCTCATTTGACTCGTCCAGTTCTACCACGTGAGACGGGACCCAATCCTCTGGTAAAGGCATCACCTCTATGGATTTCCAGTCAACATTGCATCCTAGCACTCTAAGGCAAGTCGCACGCATTGCGTTTATGGTGGTGGTAGCAGAAGGGAGTTCATCCTCGTAAACGCGTCCTTGGTCACAGCATGAGTTGGCTACCGAAGGAAACCGTTGTCTCTCTCTCCTGACAATCGGTACAGGCTGGTACACTTGTCCAGTTTTGTACACAAATTCTAATACACTTTGGTCACTTAGTACGTACGTCAGAGTCTGTACAAGAGATCGCATTAGTTCGACCAATCTTTCGGTCTCGACATCCACAACAGTGGCGGTCTTGGCCAGGGCAAGAACGCCCTGAATCCATAGAAGCGATTCCCTACTTTCTAGGTTGTATCGATGGTCAACGAATAAATCGAATGAGGTCGCATAATAGCGCATGGGATTGAAGGGATGTAGTACCAACGCAGTAGATGGGGCCTTTCGAATGGCATCCTGCATCTGCTCGATCTCTGGACCCAATGCTACTATGCGATCGTATTTGGTATCCGACAGCAACAGTTCTCCTACTCGTTTCTCCATCTCTTGAAAACGAATCTCGAGTACCAACATGCTCAGCAATGCATACACGGCTCCCCCGTTATACGCGGGCCTAGACGCCGGGAAGAACGGAATTACGTTACAGCTCCCGTATATCTCCGTCCACGATGGTAAAGATTCTTTAGAAATTGGTTGCGTCAGGTCCACGTGCCAAGCGAACCCGACACCTAAGAGACCGTGAAAGGCCACATCAAAGGCTCGAGAGAGTCGTTGTAGTTCCAGCTGCATTTCCTCGAGACAGGGATTCCTTTTGTACTGAATTAAGTCGTTGAACACTCTTACTGCTCTGGTCCAGCTTCGAAAGAACAGGTCGCAATAAGGCGAGTCAAACCGTTGTCCGTCGTATTCAAAGCGACGATTTCCCAAGGAAATGTAACTATTCGCGTCTGCAACCGAGAAACGACCCAAGACCTCGGTGAGAGGTATAACCTGTTGTGGGTCGTTTAGTTCTGCGTACGCAAGCACAGGATACTCGGTGCCCGCCAACTTGATCGTTGAATCGTTATACAGTTCGCAAAGATTCTTTCGGGTTGGCACGGGCAGTTCGAACTCGGGGTGGTAAAACAACGATCGCCCTCGATCTTCACCAGAAGGCAGCGTATCTCCATTGATGACTTCGACATTGTCGTGCGGCCGATAGTCCAGGGATGACTGCATCGACAAAACCTCGCTGAATCGGCACGGGTTTCGCGTCTCGATGGCTGGTAATATAATCGTGCCCCAAGGGAACGTAACCTCCCGTTTCACCTCGTGCCCGTCGGTTGGATACGATCTCTGCGATACGGTTAATGGCATTTTCACAAAATCGAGGGATCAGTCGGCGTGGAGTGGTTGCGAGTATCGCTGGAAGGAAGACATCTGACCATCGAGCCTTATCACAAAGGTAGACATGAGGAGGTGTCGCAAGGGAAGGAGAATGAAGCGTCCAAGTTTCCGAATGACTGGATACGTGTGTACGTTTCCACAGGGAACGCCATCGAGTACAAATCTCCAGTTTAGTTCTGTCCTCGCCCATCGGCATTCTCCACGCAACAGACAAGATTTCCGAAGATCGCCGATCGGAAAGGATCACGACTTTCCAGGGCAGTATCACGAGCCCTGCCTCTAGAAAACGTCTCCCCGACACCAACGTGATTATGATTGCTGGATGGCATCCTGGGAGGTCAAGACGTCTAAGCACTGCTATGCGTGCTCCAACCTTGTCGACAACAGTGCGATGGATGGAATCGGCGCCATCTGGGAATGTCATTCGCGTATAGTCGTCATCGTCTGCCAGGGATGGCACCTCGATAGCGCTCATGTTACCGGAAGCGTACTCGCAGGCCACGAACAACTTATCGTGTTCAGAGGAACAAGTGGTGTCGAGCAAAATGCTTGCCAAATACTTTCCTCTGTTCACGTCCTGTATCGTTTGTTGGGCTGCCTGCGATGTGTTCTCGTCAGTGTCAAAAAGAATCGCCTGCACGGGCAAGCGAAACGCGCCCGCCAGTAGTAACTTGCCTGGGTCTTCGGGGGCGATGGCCGAAGCCCATGCAAGACATTCGATGTCCACGTCACTCGACATCAAACGCATCGATGGGTGCAAACTCGAAGCAGGATCAAGCGGTAGACCGTAGAGGTCGCCATGATCAAGAAAGTGGACCAGACGAAAAGTGGTTCTCTCGTTTTTTGCCAATTCTTTGAAGGTCACCTTGTGTTGCATGTCGTCTTGGTCCGTTTCATATTCCGGCAGTGGCGCTGGTTCCGCCGGGTACCACTCAGTGAAGCCAACGTGACGCAACGTTCTGGCCTCGTCGTACGTGACGTGAACCCGAGCAACGACTCGGTCGAGTACGTCTCGTAGGGTCACGAAGAGTACTTGGTCGTGCGAATTGATGGGAACCGGAACGGCGGCCTTGACCTGGAATATATTGTCACCTTCTTTGATGGGCACGGCCGGCCAAATCATCTCTTGAGGGAATGTCAAAGTTCCACCATCACGTCGAGGGGGCGAATCTACTCGTTCTACCCGTACCCCAGCCGAAAAGGGCCATTGCAGATGGGGCGATTGAACCAATCGGAACCAGAACGTCAAGCACCTACTCGGATCGTACGGCAGATCTTCCATCTTATTTACTGTCAGATAACCGTAACACAGCGACGTCGGAAATGGCTCACAATCAATTGGAGAAACGATACAAGCAATGGTGCCGAGAGGCTTCTCGCGGAAACATCCAACGCGAGCAATTGGACGATAACGTGGTCGCGATATGTCCACTGGATCGCAACGTTTCTACCACGGCCTTGGTGTTGCGAAACGAACACGGCAGAGTGTTACCGATGCAGCCCTTGTCATCCATACTTAGAGAAACGGCGCGAAGGATCGACGCGAATGCCAAATCTCTGGCAAAACCCTCAACACCAAAGAATACAGAACTGGTGGTTGTGGAGTTGAAAACGCTTACAGCGTGTCTCGCCAACCTGTGCTCCTACGAGGACGAGACGAAAGGGCATCACGGTCTGGGGTTACACCTCTTGCCTTTCACTATCGGTAATTGGATAGCGGAAATTCGCGTGCAGGATGTCACAAAGGGCTGGAAAACGACCGAAGAGAAGCTGATGGGTATATTTCAACAATTCTCCGCAAGCGAGCGGTTCCGTTACGTGGCAGTGCACCAAAGCTATGCTGGACTCTCTCGGATGGACACCCAACGTAAAAAGTCCGCTCAACTGATGCTACAATTCAAGGAAAAGAATGATCCCATCATGAACGTACTGGGGGAAGGCCTGGATGCAATAGACGTTGCGAAAACGAGCGATCCCAACATCTTGGGATTGTACCTGTGCCGTAAGAGCATGATACAATGGCTCGAGGGAAGTGTTCATAAAGCACTGAAAAATTTCGGGGTATTTTCGCCCAAGACCCCCCTCGGCCACATACTGGCGACTAGATTACATGAAGCCAGTCGGGTGTATGGCGACAAGACCTTGCACCCCATCCAGCGATTTGCTGGCAGGAGTGACGGAGGGTCCATCATAAGAGAGATACCCAAGCTCGTCAGACAAGCGCAGATCTTGGTTCGGCAAAACCACGGGATGATTCAGGTCACGCAATTGCTGGAACGCTTGACGAGGGTTTTGTTGCAGGTCGACGGACAACGCGACGGTAGCAAGGAACGCGGCATGTTGTACAACCTAAGACATGCGACCGCTTTAAAACCATCGAACTGTCTCGTGTTCTTTCTCAATACCACGCGAGCCGGTGAACGAGATGAGCAACAGACCTTTGCCCCTCCTGTACTGAGCGACTTCGACTTGCAAGAAGACTCGAGTGGCGAATCCAAACCGTCATGGGCCAAGTCTCTATCAGAGTTAGAGCGACTGACGGGTCACGACACCAGCGACGACATGAAAGGAAGCACGACGGTAACAATGGCCGGCTTTCCTTTCCAGTGCACTTTTGTCCTGGCACATAAGGAAGGGGAGAGATTTTACTACTGCCCCCATCGGTTCTGTGATCAACAAGACGCCACCGATCACGTAAAAACGGTGCATCAGGGCGATGGGATTCCAAGCGATACGTACGCCAAGATCGCTCAGTTAGACTCGATGTTAGAGGAGACGGCATTTGGCAAAAGAATGCATCCCGTCAACGAATTTGAGCTGCTGCGCAAGCTGAGGTTGGACGAGAAAGACCCTGAAAAGTTGCGGCTTCGTCCAACACTGCACGAAGATTTGCTTAAGATGTCCGAGGCTCTCACGCAAAATACCAGACTCTTAGGTCGACTCGAAAAGGATCGCGACGAGGCCATTCAGCATATGGAGTCGTTGAACCGTTTGGCAGAGAATACGAAGACAAAGGTTGAGAAATTGAGGAAGCAGCAGTTGTTCAATGCTCTGAATCGCGAAATCACCGAAGTGATGAAATTTATAATATCTCCAGCTGTTCTAATGAAATTTCAGGATGCATGGCACCGAGCCAGAATCCGCAAGGAGTACATCACAAACAACATGTACAAAGAATTTGTCACAGCCAACGATCAGCTGTCGTGGTTGAACAGGACAGTGGGCGAAGGTGCCAGGAAGTACAAAGAACAAGTAAAACAGCTGGGCGGGGTCGATCCGGGTGCGACTCCGGCCGGAGTTCCCGGTGGTGGTATCCGCGTCGGCAAATCAAACATCATCGGCATGCTGACACAGAACCTGATCGAACGGAGTCGTCTTGCAGAATCTATTCAAGACGCAAACGGAGCTTTGATCGCAACTAATCGCAAAGCGTCGTTTCAGCGCGTCGTTTCTAAACACGATCAAGACTTTGGTGCAAGCAACGTGATACCAGCGGCCACACCGCTGATTGCAGCAAAAGGATGGGACGATGATGACGGAGACGGAGACGGAGACTCCGAAATGGTCGAGGAGACGGAAGATATCAAAAAAGAGGAAAACGATCCAGAAGAAACCGAACATCGATCATCTGGTCCGCAAAAGGACGAGAAAGCGAAGAAAGAAGCTACAACGACTACAGTAACAACATACGTTAGCAATCCTCTAAAGAGACCAAGGTCAAAGGAGCAAGGGGTTACAAGTGAAAGGGCCCTGGTTCTAAGGGCTGGTGACGCTTCCATGCTTGAGAAGAAACGATTCATCGAACCCGTCGTCCCCAAATGTTTAGAAAGCATACTTAAAATTGAGCTAAAACGCATCTTCAAGGTTTGTCAACTCGATAAATCAGAGATAATTGGAGCCCAAGATGTATGCAAGCGAATCTTGAATCTTGCATTTGATCCTCGACTCCGAGAGCAAGTGACAAGGATGAAAATGAAAGATGCACTTAAGCCTGGACAGATTCGAACTCTCAGGGATCCTTTTCGCGAAAGAGTATCGGTACTCGTCCTGACGGACCCGCGAGTCATCATGTATCCTACCGGCGTACTCATGCCCATTCTAAGTTCGTGCATCTCGCTGATCGATCGCATGCACGAGAAAATAAAGAATGATGACAAGCTGCTTTGTCTATTGTTAGCAACGGGTATTTGTCATCTGCTACAGCCACGTTTCAGGCTCTCGAAGGCTGGATTGCAAATTGTCTGTGATGCCCTGAAGATAGTCCTGATGGAAAAAGTCGAGAGAGGTCGAAATGGCCACTGGAAAGTGGTCTCATCCCTTGTAGCAACGCTCAACGCCAACCTCGCAGGCTTTTGGAATGCTGCCCTATTGCGTCGATATCACAAGATCGAAGATCCGTGTTACACGACCAAACACGTAGACACGGCCCCAGAAAAGACGTATGCCCCACTGGATCAGCTACCCACGGTCGAAGAGGTGGCCGCTCGCATTCGAAAACCCAGGATTTGCGAGACATCCGCGATATCTGTGTTGCCCGAAGATTCCAACTCGCAGTTTTCCAGACTGCGAGTGGAAGAAACCAAAGCCTTGATCGAACAAGTCTCATCGGCAGTACTCAAGCGCGATACGACTCTTGTACGCATCAAGGACGCGGATGAGATGAACGCAAAAGATTGGGTGCGCCGTCTTCTTGAAGGGAATGCCAACGCCGTGACCGACCCGCACAGTATGTGCACGTGGTTTCGGGAACGCAAGGTCACGTTTGCAGAATACAAGGATGAAGAGAAACATCAGTGGCTGCGTTTGGCAAGGTGCTGTATATGCACTGAGCTACTAGGTACCATTCCGTCTCAAGGGTGGTGTTGCCTTTCCGGTGTAACGTCGCTGGACACACTGGTCGATCAAGCGTTAAGGGACGTGACCGACCCGACCGAACGCGAGACGCGCCGAGAGCAATTGCGCCAAGAGATAGTCAACAAGATCATTTCCCAACCCAACTATCCGTCGTTTCACTTTTGGCATCAACACTGCAAGCAAATGCAAGACGAGCGGCGGTTCATTCGGGCTCATGCCAAAGCGACAAAGACAAACCAAAAAGTGGAAGTCCCAAACTTTGACGAGTGCCCGTTGTGTTGCACCAAATATCCGCGCGACAAGGCATTCTTTCCTTCCATGGAGAGCATCTCGAAGTGCATCGTGCGCATGGAACAGTCGATCGGCGGATTGGTGCCGATAGATTCTGCACCGCAATCCCCGAGACCGATGCTGACCGATATTTCACAGTCTCAGCCGACAATTGAGTCTGAAGACCCCACCTTGGAAGACTACAAGAAAGGACAAGAGAGTGTCGAGGATAGCAGAGAAACTATGCCGAGATCCGTGGATGTTACGCGCACGGGAGTAGCTTATCTCGGAGCGCTGTTCCAGGCAGATTCTGGATGTGAGGCATCGCCTATCGCCATGATCCCACCCTCGCCCGTCATGCCAGATCCCGAACACGGTCTCACTCTGTATGATACCATGATGCATGGCTCGGACTTTTCGTATCATGCAACAGAAGAGGTCGAACGAGTGCTGGAAGAAACTCCAACGATTGGTGTTGCAATGACGTCCGTCGCACCGAACCCCGTGGACATCGGTGACGTCAACGAACTACTCAGTGAAATTTTTCAGGGGGCAGATATCAACGCCACGGAGGATCAAGACTCAGAGTTTAACTTGGAACAGTTTTTTAGTCAATTAAGCAATGTTTCGAACTCCACGTTGGCTCACAACATCGAAGGGACAGATGTTGGCTTCGGTGAAGGTCATGCAACTTCAGACCAGGCGCGACCGTTGGAGCCATCTGCAGCCATCGTGGACGAATCGCCAATCACGACTTTAACGGGTGAAATGGCAGTCGGTGGATCGTGGCCATGCCTCAGAGAGAAGTGTATCGCTTGTCCTTTCATGTCGCCCGGGACCAACCAGATTGGTGTGTATCGACTCACCGCTAAAATAAATTGCCTCAGCCGCGATGTGATCTACGTGAGCATGTGCCCAGTCTGTGCCAAGGTGAACGGTCTGGGGCACTCGATAGGTTCCATGCTCTCGGAAGTAGTGCAGCTACAGGCGCAAAGTAGGGTCCATACAACCCTGTTATCCAAGTGTAGCCTCAACCACGATGCAATCCTCATCGGCTTGGAGCAGTACACTACCGACGATGATCTCATGGAAAAAGGTGCTATGTGGAAATCGAGGTTGGAAGCGTTATCTTCAGGCGAAGCATCGGTTATATAAACGTTATGAACAAATTACAAGTGCATGTCAACCATGGCGGCTAGAACGCTACTCGAATTAGACGGGTACGAACCTGACGAGATGAAGTCTCTCTCAAGGAAGATCTTGAGATGTGCAGCAATTGTAAAAGAGGAAGCCAGGCGATTCTACTGGTTGGACAGAGTTAAGATTTTGGTAACGAAAAACCCGCGTCTTCTCGTCGAGAGTCTCTTGGAAGATCATGCAACGGCACCAAATTCCGTGATAAATCGCGTCGTCGAGTTTGTGGAGCAGGGCAAGTGGAATCGCGACCAGTACGTGGCAGTGCAGGTGATGGAGTTGATAGGCAATGTTGAGGTGGATCGAAATTTGTTGCGACTTAAGGAGTTGTCACTGCGAAATTACGCAATGGAAACAATTGAGAACAAGATAGATTGGGAAAACAGGCAACAGACAGAGCTCGAAAAAGAAGCTATCGCCCTTGAAGAAATTCGGAAAATTCTCCAGGAAGCCAACAATACTCTGACGGAAGAAGAAGTAAGACTTGTGGCCAAACATGTACTTTTTGTGGACCAAAAGAAGAGTCCAGATGTCAAGGAGGGATTGGAGCTAGTGTGGCAAGAGCTAGTGAAGTACGCAGCCCAGCGAGACGACGATGGAACCCTATCACGGAGACTCTGCCTCATTGACAGATTGCGGAAATGTACCACGCTCAACTGGAAGGAGAAAGAGGTGTCGATGGTACTCTGGGGAGTGTACTCTCTGATGAACTACTGGAAGATGATCCAGGAGCCAAGTCCCATCGTTCTAGAAAATGTGATATCAAAGACCCTGAAGTCGAAAGAGATAGCGACACGACTACCCATGGAACCTTTTGCAGTGGACGTGACCACCTATCGCGGACGAAATTGCAGCGACTCTGGAGACAGGCTTTTTCATGAAGATGTCCTATGCTTGCTTGGCTCGGAAAGCAAAGTGTACGAAAAGTACGACCCTATTGAAGCCAGTCACGGTCCAAGTCCTCATGAGACCAAGCAGACAACAGCAGAGCAAAAAGCAATGATCAAGTCATGCGAGGAGATGCAGTCCTCGGACCATGTACCCCGACTCTTTGAAATGCCTAAAAGAAGAGAGGGAGAAGAAGGAGAAGAAGAAAGCGAAGAAAGAGACGAACGAGTGATAAAGCGCCTAAAAACTGCCCCATGGCACACGTTGATGCAAGTGGTGCAGCCTGAGGCGTTTGATGAGAAGCTCATGACAGTTTTGCCAGCAACAGCCAACAATCGATCCTGCGTCTTGGATTTAAAGAAAGGGGTGAGCTACGAGGGACCGATGAACGCTTCTGCTGCATTGAGCGTATTGGCGGTGAGTCGTTTGGGAAGCAAGGTGGCTGATCTAGAGGCGGTACCAAAGGTGCAATTGTTTCTCAATGCCACCAAAGATAAGATCTACGTAGAAAAGACGTTGATTGGGATACCGGAAGACACCGACATACAACACCCGTTGACCCCGCAGGAGCGATCGTTGTTTCCTGTCACAAAACTGGAGATACTAGAGCCCGAGTGGAAGACGTTGAAGGCGTCCATAATCAAAACCTTCATATTTCGAAGGATAATGGGGATGGAATGCAACCCGGCAAAATGCCTCCTGAATCCAGAAACCAAGAAGATTTACATGCCCGATCTCAACACATCACGAAAGGATTACAAGCGATGTCGCACCACGGTCAAGAGGGAGTCAGCCGATTGGCTCTTCGATAATTCCACCCATCGAGAAATCATCGACTTGGTGTCTAGAGCATTGACAGAAGATAAAGATTGCATGAACGAAGTGGAGACGTGGCTACTCCGTTTGATAAGTAAGACCGCCTTTGAGGAAGCGACAGCTTCTATACTCTGTCGTTACACCATCCCATTCGAAGACTTCGAGAAAAACGCCCTGGCCGTGAGAAATGCCTATGGTATTGTACCCGAGACAGATGATGAATGCGATGATCAGGAGGAAGATGGTGAAGATGAGACAGCCTGACTTGAAGCAAGCATCTATAGACAAAGCTGACAACAAGTCTTTATTTTTTGCCATTGAGTCCATGATCTCTGCCCAAAGAATAATTTGTATTAAGAGATATCTCTCCATTGACCCCGCTGGCTGGAGTTTTTTTCTGGATTTTTATCTTAAGAAAGTAGGGGGAAAATTCTTGTTTCATTGCAATTTTAACTACACTAAACTACCGGTAACTCTTCCAGAATTTTACAAAGAATGCATTGTGGCGTGGACCCTTTTAAATGAAGACAACCCCTCCTCATCCTCTGAAATAGCAAATCAGGTCATATGGAACAACCAGTTTATTTGTATTGAATCAAAGTCAGTCTATAACAGTAGGCTGATTGATCTTGGAATTGTAAAAATTGGAGACCTCTACGACACGTGGGGAGGTTTCAAGTCGAACAAGGAACCATTATATTCAACTCTCTCACCAGTTGAACATTTTCTACTTTTCAGTCTCTTCAATGCTTTTCCTGAAGAATGGCGCAAAATATTAAAAACAAATAAAAACTCTATCTCTTCAAAAACTCATGATCTAATCCAAACTGATTTCAAGTTACGTATTGAAGGGAAAAAGTCAATTTCAAAATCTTAAATCAAAGTCATTATATGACAGTTTTGTTTCTAAGATATCCAGTATACCAACAGCGCAAAAGAAATATAACGAAGCTTTCAGCACACACACATTTCAGTTGGACTGGGAAAAGATATATCTACTGCCCTTCAAAACAACATTGGATACTAAATTAAGAGAATTCCAATATAAAATATTAAACAGGATCTTATACACGAACAAGATGCTGTTTAAGTTCAAAAAGTAGATTCTCCCTTGTGCGATTTTTTGTGAAAAGGAGTTGGAGACCATAGAACATCTCTTTTTCCATTGTACAAAAGTAAGCATGTTTTGGAATGATTTAAAGTCTGTACTTGATTCTTTTAATATAACTATTAGATTTGATATCATGAATGTCCTTTTTGGGATCCTAGATACAGATAATATAAGCATTCTAGTCAATTATATCATTCTTGAAAGCCTTTTCATTATTATTCGCTTCAAGCTTATATCAGTTGATTAGTCTATGTACCACATAACAGATAAAGCGTTCCCCCTGTATTTATCCCAAGAAATCAATAAAAAAAGCATATCATACCACACAGTTTCTGTGAAATATGAAAGAATAAATAATATATATAAAAACATAATATAATACACATATTATATATAATATATATATTATATATAACATATATATATATATATATATATATATATATATATATATATATATATATATATATATATATATATATATATATATATATATATATATATACATATGGTAAAATAAAATTTTAGAGCCATTTTACCTATTAAAGTGGAAGGCTGTCGTTCCTTCAGAAACTTTTGTTGTTAACAGCTTGGAATAAATGAGGTTGAACCCATGGAAACGAAGTGCGCGATGACGGACAAACCACCAAAGAAAAACATTACGGTTGCTGTGGAAGGAAACATTGGAAGTGGAAAAACAACTTTACTGAACCATTTTCGGGAAAATCCCATGGTTGAGGTATTGGAAGAACCAGTTGCCGAGTGGCAAAATGTTGGGGGTGAAAACCTTTTGGAGTTATTTTACACAAACTGCCAAAGATGGGGCTATTTGTTTCAGTCTTATGCTGCTCTTAGCCTCCTCAAAATTTACCAACAGCCACATGTGACGCCTGTGAAAATGATTGAAAGAAGTATTTACAGTGGATTCTATTGCTTTGGGCACAACCTTTTCAAAAGTGGAATGATGTCTTCCGTCGAACATTCAGTGTACCATGAGTGGTTTGACTGGATTACAAAAATGCAGCAACCTCAACTGGATTTGATAATTTACCTGAGGACATCACCAGAAACATGCATGCAGAGGGTTAAGAAAAGATCTCGAGCCGAAGAAAAAAGTCTCCCCATGGAACTTCTTTACGCCTTACACGAAAGACACGAGGAGTGGCTAATTCAAGGAAAATTTCCTGTATCTGCTCCGGTTATAGTCGTGGATGGCAACAGGAATCTTGAAGAGATGATACAGTTTTACCGGGTCAATGACCAATATCTGCTAGGAATGAAAAAATGGCCTCATTACCACTCTGTACAACAAGTTGATTGCTTAAACTGAAACGTCTGGAACTGATCCTGAAAGAAGGAGTTTCATTTTTATTTTTTGGTTCTTATCTTATTTATTAGTCATAAAATGTCAGGTTAAGTCTGAGGTTGAATTATCCGTCCGGTTATAATCAAGCTCTAGGTTTACTATTGACCACTATACACAAAAAATATATATATATATATATCTCATATCTTATGTTTATCTATTTCACAAACTGTTCCAAACAATAAAATTATAAGGTCATTTCTTTATTTCATCTCAAAGGTTTGCTATAGCTAATCCAGCCGTTCTGTTTATCTGATGGATTTTCCAGAAAGCGAAGTGAATCTCGAACCTTGATCCAAGCAAAGACGGTGACCTCAAATAAGACCAGAAGACCCCATTCGATCAAAGGCCAACCTTCGATCAGAATGAGCCATAACAGGACGCCGGTTGAACCTATCCAACCCAAAAGTCTCGGAAGACCATCGAAGAGAAACAGCATCACTTGTATGGCTCTCGATACCTTGTTTTCGCACAAACCCGGCAACAAGGCATCGACCAAACCGTTGATGATCCATCTCGAAAGGGATATAGTCCGAAAGTACGCAAGACTAGGACATACCCGTACGCGCGCAAGCAGTCGGATCAGTTCGGCCAAAGGTTGCCCGACCGGTGATTCCTTTGTATCGTCGATGTGGTCCTTGAGACTAGCCAGTTGAGACAGGATCGGGGGTACTGTCAGGTGAGTTCGAGTAGCGTAGTCTCCTTCGTGTGAGAGTCGTTTAAAGTGGCCGGTAAAAAAATCCTTGAAACCGTGTCCTACCTTTGACGCCTCGTTGGCGACGGCGTTAACAACCTCAAACACAACAGCCACGATTTCGTTGATGAACTCTGCCACATCACCAATGACCAATCCAACGTGCAACAGAAGAGTTTTTAACAAATTCGTGACCACGATGACGACTGCTATGGCTATCCACAAACGAGCAGAGAATAGATTATACAAGACCTTTCCAAGAGCGATCACGAATCTTGCACACAAATGCGAGCCGTCGAGAGGTCGATGTACGGTTTTGTGGCGGCCTTTAAACGCTTGGTCTTGCATTTGTCGTTGTGACAGTGAATCCACGCACGCGCTCGATTGTCGATCACGAAATACATCGTAGCATGGCCATGTGTGTTTCCTTTAATGACACACCAGTTTCCCTCCTTACGCCTTCGTACAGCGACGAAAGGCGGCCGCGAGGCCGGTGCTAATTCCACCGAAACAGTTTCCCTTGTACTAGACAAAGCGAGACGAATGGCTTCTATAGCTTCGTTGAAGTTCACGTCGCATTCGTTAGCAACAGTTTTTATGTTGTATCCCGTAATCCCAGGAGCTTGTTTAGATAAAGTTGACCTGAAGACTGCCATGTCGATACCTTCCCATGGTGGCACGTCGTGTCTGGCATGCACGAGTGCACCAAAGACATCGGCAGGAGTACCGCGCCAAGGAACCAGGCGATGGACATAGGAACCGTCTTGTCGCCTCTTAAAACAAGCCGGAAGACGAAGTTTGGTGATCGATTTGTCGAGATACCAAGAGGAGTGCGCACCGTCTTGGCGTTCCATTTCTTCGTACACCACTCGTAGATCCTTGTAGTTCCAAATGATGACGTTGCGGGGAAGAAGGAGATTTACGTGGACGCTAACTTTGTCCAGTCCCTGGACTCGGACTACTCCTTCCGGTGTCACCTTCGCCATCATCTCTTCTGATATCCACATGCGGGTCTGCGCGACTCGTCGTTTGTGAGAGCCAAAATCGAGACTCGGTATCAAGTGACGCAAAGCAGCATCTGCAGCACGTTCGATGCGCTCGACCCAGGCCATCGGGTTCCAAGTAGATCCAATGACTTTGTCGACAGGCATATCCCAGTCGACGGGAATCGCAGTGAGGACCAGATCGTCACGATAGACTTCACTGAATGCGGGTGACTTGGTTCCGGATATCAACTTTTCCAATCCGGCCGAATCACAAGCCGCGAAAGAATAACCCATCCCATTGTCGTTCGGGTACTGCAACAAAACCATCCGCTCGTCCATGGATGGTGCCGGTGTCTCGATCCCCAAAACTGTCCATTCTTCAACAAAAGCCCGGTCCCACGGAGGTAGCCCATCTACGTACCGAGCCACCGTCTTAAGGTAACCTGGATGGTTTCCCCGACTGGCATAAAATCGTTCCAAATTGGGCACAAAGGTACGACACGCAAATGGAGCGACGACAGCCTTCGTTTTGACTTGCTCGAAGAAGTAAGTCTTCGCACTCTTCAATCTGAAAAATTCGGAAACCCTTGCCATTTGTTCCTCCCGTTGTTCGGCGCTGTTCTTCTTTTTCTTTTTTCTTTTCCTCTTCTCAGTAACGTCTGATCTCGTGATGGAGTCCTCGTCTGTTCTTAGAAGACGAGACACGATTCGGCGCACCACAGCCAAAGTAACGTTGCTTCCCTGCACGGTCCTTCGTAAGCACTCACTGCGAGCTGCGGCCATGAGTTCCCCCAGTCGCACATGTGGTAAAGCGGTGGACGCGTCACCGAGTGCTTCTCTAATAGCGTCGTCTTGCTCGTCGAGGTAGTCGATGCGTCTCACGTCCGGTAAAGGCGCTAACCGCAAAAAACCTCCCTCTCGAAGGTGTGCTGCAGAAATGCTAACAAAGCTAGACACGTTTTGGGCGAGATGATCATTTTCGCATAGCGCCACCGGAACGGCATCTTTCTTGGCTTGGTCAAACAGACACACAGCAATGTTCCACTTCCAGAAATTACGAGACGCCTGTCTGAAAGAGTCATCCCATCTCAGAGAAATCTCGTCGTTTTTCAGGACGCCCAAGATGCGTGCCCATTGTCCCTTGGTGGATCCAAAGGGGTTGCGATCGACCACTACCACGATCCGGTTGAAGTCTGGCATTGGCTTAGTGCTGCAAATATGGCGTTTGTGATGATGAAAATAGCCTCTTGGTTTGTGGAATGGGATGTTGATTTATCTTTTCTCCACTGAAGGAAAACGACATCGATCCACCAGTTAAGATGGCTCAACCGCCACGCTTGCCACAGGAGGTCGACCACGGAACGATGTAAGATCAAACTGTTTGTCCAAGGCCCCACCAGGAAGCCGTCGAAATCATCGTCGTCGGCATCTTGGCAGTTATTGGAGACCTGAATAACCGTCCTGCGTCCGCGATGCCGGCTATTGATTTCGGGTGCCCCAGAAACCGACGATGTGGAAGAAAGAGAAGATAATCGTCTACGGCGCGAGCCGTTTCGAGGATTACTGCGGAATGGAAGCCGCTGAGTAGCCACCTGCCACCAGCGTTGTTGTCCTCGAGTGTACCGAGACGTGAACCAGTTGATGTGATCTCTAAATGACTTAACGGTGCAATCCCACTCCAAGACGGGACATCTCACAACAGTGACCCGGAGAAGGTGTTTTCTTTTTCCAGTAAGTACGCACTCCACGCCCTCCTCTTCCTCGTCTTGTTTGCAGGGTCGAACAACCGGCAAATGTTGTAAGGCCGTCATACAGAAGTTGGACCAATCGCCAGCATGAAATCGCTGACGGGCATTTTCTAAGGCGGGGTCCACAAACTGCGTCTTCACGAGTTGATAGAATGCTGCGTGCAATCTGTCCACTTGTGCATACGAATCAGTAGGAAACCTGGCCTCTCGTCCCAGAAACGCAGATACCTGTCGCGTGACGACCATGGCCCGTATGAGTTCTTGGACCGGATCGAAAGGAGAACGCGTCGAGTCTTCTTGATCGGGAACTGTCCATGGCGTGCTTTGAAGCAGTTCTTCCGGGTGAAATGTCAGCAGATTGGAAAACCAAAGCGGTTGCCTGTCCTTGGGAATTCGTAGGGCGTCGGGTACGTGGCAACGAGACAGGGTACCTTCGTCCTGTTCGATTGACCCCGTGGTGTCTCCAGAAGAGAATAAGGACGGATGGAGCCGGACGGCGAGGGTGGGCAGTTTCTGGGGAAAGAACCATTTCTTTGAGACTGGGCAGACAACGGCCAGGACATGTGCGTTGCTTATGTAACGCAAATCAGCCAGGCCATATCGGCGATACTCGAGCAGAGCGTTCTTGATAAGAGGGTCGCTGGATAAAATAGATGATAGAGGGTCCCCGGACTCCTCCGCGTACTGGATATCTACAAGTTCCTGCTCCTTTTGAGCCAAGGTCTCGCAGTGCTTTCGGAACAGTGCGCGTTGTCTGTCTTCCTCCGAAGCGAGTGAATCTTCGAATTGCACGGCAAGCGCTTTTAGCCTATGAGACGCGTGGAGACTCGTCCACGCCTCGGGCTGATCCTCACCTTCGCACAGACCAAACACTCGTTCGGTGCTCATTCGAGTTTTGTACCGAACGGAAAATGGGTCTTGATTGTATTCACCTTCGGCTTGCTCGTAATAGTCGACTTGAAGCGCGACGATTCCTTCTGCAAAGTCTGCAAACGATGTCATCTGCCCTGGTGGAAGAAAGCAAGGGGATGATTGTTAGTGTCATCGATGGGGAGGGTCGACCATACGATATTCCTCTCGAACAGGTGCGTAGGTCCAGCGCCGCATTTTGGAACAAGTACACGCTCTGCAAAGAAAGATGGGTGCACTTGCTCGTGGGGTTTGCTCGTGGTTGCCGCTATACCGCCATGTCCCTTGTTTTACAAACACCCGCCATTTTGTTGATTCGCGAAGACTGGGTAGGACTCTTGCGTTTTCCTCGCCAAGAAGTACTGTCGATGGTGAAACTTGGCGATGCGTTGATCCCGCGACCACCGAATACCTTTGGTTACGAGATAGACTCGGCCTTGAAACACATGGCCATGTGTTTTGGACGCGGGGTTGCTCTCTCGGGAGACATCATTGGACTGTACCTCACGAACCCCACCCCGGATGTACGGCGTTGGTTCAGGCGTGTTTTTGTCGAGACGGCCCCTGATGATCGTTTGGTACAAGAAGCGTGGCAACCGGGGGTTCATCCGGTCGTCAACAGGGGACTCGCCTTGCTTCATCGCCTAACCGGCGGTGGCTCGTCCAGCGTGTTGGATCGACTATTGTCGGTCGAAGTACGTTGCACCACCTCGGAGCAAAGTGCCTTGGTGGCACAGTGTAGACGCGCAGCCGGGATCGTGGACATAGAGCGCCCCATGAAACGAAGAGACGTGAAAGTGCAAAGCCATGCGGGGCAGTGGGAATTTCAATGGCACAACGTGCCCGTCTGCTATGGCAATGAAAAAGTGTACGAAAGACCAGACGAGAGATTGCGCTGGGTGGCGATATGGATGGCATGCACGTTTTCCAACCGGCCAGGGTTTGTTACGGTTTTGCAACGCACACCCGATGCTTTATTGACGGCACTGTTGCCGGCCATTAAACAAACCTTAAAAAAGCAAAGTGATAACGATGGGAAAAAAGCGAAAACGACCAAGCGACGAACACGACGACAACGACGACGACCTCGAGAACGCGCAGGAACTTGATCGTCGCGTTGTCAAGCGTCGGAGACACCGTGATGACCAAACGAATCGAATATTGTGGCCGCCCGAGAAGTTCGACCTCACCTTTGTTGCTTGGGCTCGTCAACAATTTCCTGATACGGGATTTTGTCTCGATTTTCGAGCGCGATGGCTAAAGAGCCGGCAAGCGTGTCCATTGTGCGACAAATACGCCATCCGAAAGATTGCCGACCTCGATAGCATGTGCAAGGACGGAAAGACGCGCAAGGCGGTATCAGAGGAATTCCCAACAAGATTGGACATCGAAACGCTAGAAAGAATGGAGTACATCATGTGCGGCAGGCCCCACGGAGCGCAGTCGTTCAATTACGTGCGGACCGAAAGTGATAAGGCCGAGGTAGAAGTGACATTCGAGGGCGTCGTTCATCTTGGTTGGCCAGAGTTGTGCGCTCTCTTGGAAACGTGCGAGTTTTCGGATCTCATCGTAGATTTGAACGAGCAACGCGTCTCTTTGAAGTTAACTCCAAGAGTAAAGGAACCTCTAGATGCCGAAGAAGTGGGTATGGCCCTGGTGGGTTATTATCTTCGTTTAGTTGACACTACGCACGTGCCGATCAGACGCGATGCTCTGCAAGACTTGCCATAGCCAGTTCGATCCAGAGACGGTACTGAAGGAGACCCTAGCCAAGACCCATGACGAGATTTTTTGGGTCTGTATCTTTGCCAACGATATCGGAGCTCCGCCGAAGCTTGGCAGTGATAAAAAGTATCACTTGACTGTAGGCGACATCCACAAAATGGACGTGAAAGGTATCCCCGTTCGATACTTCCACTGTAGCGATCCCGTGGGGCGCGTGTTATTTGGATGGCATATTCACTGGGTAGGTAGAACTACTTTTGCGTGCGCTTGTGTTGCCACCATCAACGAGGCGTCGTTCAAAGCGGGAGCACCAGTCCTCCTCACCGTTGCATGTCAATCTAGTCTGGGGACTGTTAATTGTGTACCGGACGAGATTTCCATCACTCAACTTGGGGCGCGTGATGACACCGTGGGTGTGTTTTGTCATAGGGAGTCGCTGCGTGACGTGTTGACTCGCTTTAGGTTTTTTACTCAAAGTGGCACCAAACCTATTAAACGCCACTGCCATCGAGCTAGTGGATTTCTGGGTTCATCCATGAACTCATCAACAACCACGATGGCTTCTGTTGCACCGGCCAGAGTATCGGAAACGGGAAATTGTGCACCAGAGGTAGTCGGTGCAGAGCAGGTACCAAAAACGGAAGAGTCTTCCATTGTCCCTGAGGGAAATGACGCCATCGGAAAGATGTCAGAAATCGAGGATATAGCCCAGCAAGTGACACAGATTCGAAAGACGTTAGAGGATCAGGCCGACGCTCTGAACATGACCCGGGGACTTCTCGAAGAGGCAGCACTGAAGTCACTGGCAGAACTCAAGGCATCGGAGGCCTCGGGTGAGCGCAAGGTCCGTAAAGATATAGAACACATGCTAAGAGAGGGAGTTATTCGCGACATCGACAACCCTGACCAACCGAATGTTCCGCACGCAGATGCCGTGCACACTCTTGTAAAGTATAACATAGAAAGTTTTCCAAATGTGCTCGCCAAGTCGTTCCGCGATGCCGTGGAAGTTGCACTGGGAGAGACGACACCTTCGTCGGCTTCTTCAAAGTCAAACGAAACTGGGGACGAGGAGATCGGACCTAGCATTGGAACAAGTCTGGTCTCTGTGAGAGCCACGGCATTACGAGCGAGAGCCTTGAATGAAGAGCGCGGCAATATTAGCCCCGTTCAAGAACATCAATCGCCACGACTATCTACTTTGCAGCAAACTCCACAAGCTCAAGTTTCAAGAAAGAGACAATCTCCCTCGTTGCAGATGATTCACGAAGCCCTATCGCGAAGATTGGTGCCAGGCCGTAAGCGAGATCGCGATTCGAGTCAGCATCTGCCTGCCTATACAATGGGTCTTAAACAGCGAGAGGAGAACGCGATTGAATCCAAGATACGCAAAGTCATCCAGGATACTATTCATGATGAAATACAGCACTGGAAACAGTTGCAGCCGCCTTCTCGAGAAGAGGATAAGGAGCAACGCGTTCTGATGGACGAGTTTCGAAGATTTCTGGAGCAACGCCCAATGCAGCGGGGCAACGAACTACCAGCGCAACCTCCTTCGTCTTCCACGCCCACTCCCACACCACCTGCAACACTCAATCAGGCTCAAGTTCAAGTTCCCCCCCAGACACAACCAGCGCAAAATGCACACGCTCCCGTTCGGGCGAGTGGAATGTCGCTGCACGGCACGTCGCCAGAAGAGGACACTAACGTCACTCTAAAGGATCTGGGTATATTCTACTGACCGCATAGTGCATACGTTTTCGGTCAGTCAGCCAGTTCTTCGTAGACAATGGCCATATCAACTACGTCTTTCAACGTGCATCTTCATCCCGGTTACTACCAACTTCAGGAAAATGTGTACCAGAACAAAGGACAAGAGGGTTATGCACCGATGTCGCTTAGAGGCCGGGAGGTCTTAGAGGGTCAAGTCGTTGCCTTGAAGCTCGACATACCGAGCGATGACATTCCTTGGATCGCTTATCCAGATGCAGCAGGGATGCCAAAGGACCCTGTGTATCATGCAGCATGGATGGATGACGTGAGGTGGGCAGTGAATCAACGCAAAAGCTTTCTAGATCAGACCAATCAGTTGATGGATGTCACTATCGTACCAGCAACGCGCGAGACAGTGCTTCACACTGGAAGCGATCCGGTCAGTATAGGGGATCTCTTGTATTTGCGATTTCCAACGGACGCGGACGTACAAGCACAACAATCGACCTTCAGAGATTCCTTTAGCGGATATGGTGGTCGTAACCAAATGTGCCCACCGATGTTTGCAACTTATGGTATTCAGCCTCAGACCGTGGACCATAGAGGACGGATGTTTAGCTGCATGGATAGATACAGACGTTTCCTGACCACCGATCAGATGGATTTCGATGTGACTAGGGACGGAGGGGAAGGAACAATCGCACAGATAGAGTCTTCCAAGGTGACCCGCATCACCCGTCTGTTGTCTTTCATAAACCAATATTTTAATCAAGACGGGATCGGCCAAGAGATAAAGACCCTAGCAGCCTCGATCAAGACCGAGGCTGCTGGGGAGGAAACTATGATGAAGAAATGTCGAGAGTCCAACGTGTTTAAAACAACTGCAGGAGTACAGTTCACTTCAGAATTGTTAGCAATGCTGTGCGAGAACGATACTGCCATGTACGAACCGAATCCATTCGGAGAAGTCCTGCAGTCACTTGAACCAACAGGTTCTCAACGCATCTTCCCTGGAGATAAGATGGTCGTAAAACTGTTTAAACAATAAATAAAAATAACAAACTAAACACTTCGTGCGTACGTTATGATGAGATCTTTTCTAAGCGAAACAAACGGGGTGACAAAGGGTACTTCAAAATTTTTAATCTTTTTCTGAAACATGTATTTTTTATTATACACTCATTTGTATGAAATGAATATATATAATATATATATTGTATATGTTATATGTTATATATATATATATATATATATATATATATATATATATATATATATATATATATATATATATATATATAATAAGTAGATTAAAGGAGCTGGATTAAATCTTAAACATCTATTGCACTTCGGGATTTTATCAGACTTTCTTTCTTCCTCTCCATTTATTTTACATCTTTCACATTGTTTTTCGCAAAGTCCACAAACATTCTGTGGCATTGTCCGTTTCTTTGAACAGACGAGCTAGGCTATCTGCGCGTCCAAACACTACATCAAGAATGAAATTAGCCGTTTCTCTCCCGTGTACATGCTGATAAAATATGGCATCACCGAGAATCGTACCCGAACGTGAGAACAGCTCTATCAGTTCTAGGTAATAACTCAAGAAAGATTGAAGTGTCATTTGAGAGTCCTTCGATTTATCTATGGCCACTATCCGCTTGGATTGTAATTTACACTGTAATGGGAACTTGTGGTTCAGCGACCGTCCACCGTTCTCGAGGAAATCTGCGGCGGCAGCACCAATTTCGAGATGATGATTTGCTAACCAGTCGCCAGTGCTAGTGATCTCGGTGGGAAAGTAATCTAACTCTCTTCTATGCTGGTTGTATGCCATTGATTTCAAATGGTTGATGTTACGTTTGACAATGCAGCTGACAACGGAAGGAATGTCGAGCGTCTTTGGTTGAGCCAAAAGCCTCTGATAGTGATCAGCGTCGTCTGAACGAAAAACGGATACAACGTACCCGCTTCGTCTGCGAGGGATTCCCAATCCGGTCATGGATTCCTTTCTGATCTTTTGTTCTTCTCGAGAAACGACATAAGGCTGACCACCTGGTCTCCAGGCGTGAATTGTTTTTCCTTCTTTAATCATAGACGGTATGGTGCAGACGGGACGCCTCTTTACAATTACCCTCTCTGTCTCTATTTCATCATCCAGGGGAATGTCCAGGGGAACGTCTGTGCTATTCATGGAGCCTGTCATGGCCACGTAGACATCTGAAGATTTTTTGTTGGTCGAGGTATGAAGACGCATCACGAGGTTGATTGCCTGTCTAATATTGGAGGCCCCAAATACCTCGAAGGTTTCTTGCCCTTTATCTTCAATTTTTATCAAAGTTACGACGCATGGATAACTGTTACACATTTTATCTTCATTTACCCCGGGAAATGCGTATGCCATTTTGACCGGATTGATATGGTCAATGAATGGTTGACGTTTCTTATACGCGAGCACGCCATCTAGGACACAGTTATGTTGGTATTCGTACCATCTATTTTTCCATTGATGTGAACTCGAGGGAAGCGGCAAGGTTTCCTGTGAGACTGTGGTACATTGCAGAAACGGGGAAGCACTATCGGCTGGAGCAAATTCTGGAGGACAAGTTGTGGTTTCGTTGATAGGCAAAGGCGTGTGAATGCCATCGTCAAGTAAGAATAATGACTCTTGTTCGTCACCATCTTGTAATTCTTCTTCGTCTTCTTCTTCATCATCATCATCTTCTTCTTCTACACGTTCCCCTTGTCCTTCGTTTTTATCGTCTTTTTGTTGTTTTTGTTCTTGTTCGTTCTTATCCGCGAGCTTGTTCTCATTTTTCTCGAAACAGATAAGGGTCTCGACGGCGGAGACGAAAGGAGGTGAAGGAGCAATGTCCAACAGAACGGGTGTCACAAGCGGTGATGGCCGACACGATGACTGTTCTGGAGTATGACAAGCATTCGATACCCTCTCCACAGAGGTAACTGTCGGGAGTGATTTCGAAGACGATTGCAAAAGAGAATCCGAACGGGACGGTGTTGTCTCGAGGGAAGCCGTGACCGGTTGCAGTCCGTCCGGTGACTGAGCTTTACACCACAAGGAAACGGGAGTAGCAGGAACAAAAATATCTTGGACGCCTTTAGGCGGTATGCCCATAGGTGTTGGTGGAGGAGGTGACCAATCCGCAAACACGTCGTCTTGTGCGACATGTTTTATATGCCGAGCTGTAGTCATCAGTGGACTTTCATCTCGATGATCCATCTCAACGGCTTGACTTGACGGCGTCCTCGGAAGAGGCAATGGAGATCCTTTCGATGGTTCTTTTCCCAGAGATATCGTGTTCTCTTGTGAACCAAGATACTCCGACGAGGTTTGGGTGGCGTCGACAATCGACGTACTCGTTCCCTCGAGACTCCTGCTCGGCTGTGCCTCATCATGACGCATCTCTGTAGAACTAACAGGGAAAGGTGTCGTCGTGGCCAAAGTTTCGTTCTCTCGGTCTTTTCTCCTAAACTTGTTCGGTTGCATTAGAGTGAGAGATTCATATTCGCTTCTTCCCCGTTGTCGCTTTTTGTGAGATCTCCTGGCGCACACAGCAACAAGAAAGATAGCATTCGACAACAATATAGGCCTTGGATGCCTGGTAGCCGAAGGACATGCCAATGACATCTGGAATCGTTTGGCCTCTTCCGGGTTCAATCGAACGCGCTTACGAGCGAGGGCCAATTGTTCCGCGACGTTTGGACAGAGTCCCTGGAGGAGGCATTGTAGGCGCGTGGCACAGTCCAGGTCGTAATCGTTGATTGCCAAATGAAACGAGATACACCAACCATCTCCTACTTCGACTGGATACCCTCGAACGGTAACAAAGACAATACCACACGATGGTTCTTGGGATGGAGGTCTCACCACCACATCTTTAATTGAAATGGCACTGGATTTATTTTTCGGAACGTATAGGGCCAACGCGCCCTTCACTGGCCGACCGTCGTGAAGGGAATATGGATCGAGTGTTTGGAGTACCCTGGAGCCAGAAAATAACATCTCTTGTGCATATCGTTCGATCCAAGCCACCGCATCCGACTGAAACTGGACCTTTCCCATGGATCCCGTTCCATATTCTCCTGGAGCATTGCTCGGCAAGTTTGACCCAATGATCGGCAACGTCACAAAAGCAAAACTTTGCCGGATCATTGTTTTTGAAAACTCCTGGTACGTACGCGCTTGTTCCCGACAAAAGTTCATCGCGATCTCGTGACAAGTGAAGACTTTTGCAAAAGCCATGCAAGAGAAAGGCCACGTGGAGCTCATCATCAAATTCTAATCACAGGGGTTTTCATTTCAATGCTAAAATTTGCTCTTTTCTGAACAACACTACGTGGCTCGTCAGACAGTCAGGGAGGTCAAGGAAGGATGGAGACTGCAATAAACAAGACGCCTACTTCGAACAAAGGAAAAATCCAAACCCATTGTTTTATTTGTGACATGGCTCTCAACGAGAACAGACCTTCAGAGATATGCACCGACTGCGAATATCCTCTCTGCCTAGGGTGTCTTTACATTTGCGACGATTGCCGCCTTTACGTCTGCTTAGAGTGCGAGCCAGAACATGATTGCGTCGAGTCTAGCCACACGGAAGATGACTGGACGGACGAGGATACCGACGAGAAACCCTGAGGGGATGCGAATTCCAAGGAAGTAGTCTGCCATTCAAAAATGGAACGAGGATCATTAGGCGAGCTATGAATTGTCAATAAAATATTTTATTTGAATCAAGGAAGAAGTAAACGTTCTTTGGGAACACAAGGAAACCCTTTGAATAGCTCGAAAGGAATCCCAGTGGCACGGTGTACTCTGGCCGGTGGCAGGGCATCGTGATGGAACTCCAACCGTTTATCTGAAGCGACGAGGATCCCCTTCGTAAAAGGTATCCTAGCTCTGTCAATGCTTTCCCACGGATCCGTAGAGATGAACAAAGATCTCAAATCGTTTGCACTGAGTACCAGATTGGGATGACCATCAACCCACAAGCCCACGAAACCGTTCTCTGGACACAGGTTGGTAATTCGTGCGGCTATCATCTCGTCCAGGCACGTTTCTCGTGTCTCACCATCCTTCTGCTTCCACAAGCATCGCGTTCTGTTTGGTCTGTATCGACCTTGGTAGCTTGCCTTGAGCCAATCTTCGTCACCCTGTTCCTTCATCTCCACTGTCTTCCATTTGCATCGGCTCGTCATTTCGCAGGCGCGTCTAAGCATCTCGTTGACTTCTTCGGTGTCGCGATCGACTTTCCAAACCGACGAGGGTGGCGATACGTTTGGCCAAAAAAAGGCCAAAAGAGTGCAAAGCAACGATTTCAACCACAACCAAGCCATGCGCGTTTCATCGTCGTGCCCGCACATGACGGCCATATCCGCAGGTTCGTCTAGTAAGGCCTTGAGGTTGGAAGGTGATGTGGCACACAATGGCGTCAAGACCAACAAGAGAGTCAAAGACCGGTGAGTTGAAACTCGGCCCTGAATGACTTCTGTGAGAAGCTTAAACCCTACCTCTATATTGGACGGTATCGTCGTAATACGGGGCCCGACAGTGGCCCACAAATGTTGAACGATCTTCTCCATGGTATTGTTTTCGATGAAATCCCGATGTCGAAGAGGACTCAGAAAGATACCGAGACCAGACAGCATATCCTCCATTTCCTTGCGCGTTGCATTGGAATCAAATAGCTTCCACCACTGTCCATCATTTTGTAGGCAAAGTCTGAGCCTTCCAGCAACCGTCGGGTCCAAATGCCCGATGCTTCTAGGTCTCGGAGAGTCTGAATCCATTTACTTTCATCGACAATGTTATCGATTGGTTGCTTTTTTAATGGATCCCTGGTTCGAGGCCTGTGTTTCTTTAAATGGCGATCGTCGTGCGACCTTTACACGTACGACTCAATGCTTGACTGCGTGGATGGCCCGAACAGAGATACGTTGCCGGGGATGTCAGCGATGTGTCGGACGCGTCCCTGCCACTGATCCTCGCCAGATGGCATCCCTGCGAGCCAGAGACCGTCTTCTATTTTCACCAAAGGAAACGATCGCACCAAACCCGAAGCCCTGACAATGACGGCTTCATCCCATCGACCATCGTCCAGCCTTAAAAAGGCGATGCCCAAGGTAGTGCGGGAACCTCTACAGCGGAAACCAAGATGTTCGAAACGACGAAACGTCTCGTTGAATGCAGAGTCGATGATCAACCGATCCCCTATCCAGGCCAGAGCACGCACTGGTGTTGCTTTGGCGAGGACGTCGATACCAGTCACTTTGTCGTAAGGGTAGCGATGAAATCGAAACACGACGCGAGACCAGCCGGCGGTTTGCCAAGCGCGAGGAAAGAGAACCAACACAGTATCTTTATCTTGCAGTCCCAAACGGGTCACATTGGACAAAGGCAGGGGAACTGGTGTCGCACCGGATCCGCTCTGCGCAAGATGGCGAATGTGCGTCACGGTTGTGTACCGATTCGGGACAGTCAATGGCGAGTATCTACACCATAGCCCAAAGATACACAACATGATCGCAACGCTGACGCAGGCATCACCCAGCAGGTTTTCTCGTTGACAGTTTTTTGTCCTGCCCGTCGAGGCATCCACTCCTGCATGTTCAGTTGTCATGGCTGCCACATGCATCAATTGCTCGGCCAATAACCACAGATAACACGATCGACCGATTGAGTTAACAAGCAGCGTTAAAAACGTGAAAGAAGGCGGCGAGGGAATAAAAAAAGTACACACGATCGAAAGGCACGGATTGATTATCGCGGGAATCTGCGTCGACATCGAAGACAGCTCTTGTACACGGACACGATCCACTTGAGGTACGTCAAGGTAGAGGAGCCGACAGCAGCCAAGATCAGTAAATGACACTTGTGAACGTTTGTCGCGTTGGCTATTGCGTTGGTCGTTCCCAAAGCGCACGCTGCCTCAAACATGCCAGCGATCAAAGACGCGTAGTCGTATCGTGGAACAAACGGATCGGTCATCTGCGATTTGAAGCGGTGATCTCCGATGGTAAGATGTTTGCGAAGTTCCACAAACGTGATGTGGTGGTCAAGGTATTCAAACAGCATGAGGAAGCGAAAGACAGCCGCGCCGATGGACTTGACGATTACCCATAACTTTGGCGGATTGGGCTCGCCCTTGCACGAGACGAATGCCAGTGCTAGGAAGGTTATGTCTGCGACGGTGCAGATCGTGTACGAAGTCCAGCGACCCACTGTGGTTCTTGGCCCAGATAAGCGATTTAGAGCTTGGTAGGAGACTTTCCTTGTATCGATTCTCATGGTCATTTTCTTTGACACTGAAAACACAAAGACAACCTGATATGAGCTGGCAGAAAACACTTCCCTGTTGGATGCTACAGATCTGCACATGTAATATATGGAGTAATTGTCTCTGTTCCTTTTATCACTTTTACGACACGATGGAACTAATGAAGCGGGCAACGAGTCTCTACGAAACCCGGCTGAAATCGATCGACGCATTTTCTTTGGCAGCCGCCTGTTTGCTCGTTTCCTTCAGGCGTCTTCACGGAGGAGAACTAGGTGTTCAAACGTTGCAGCACTTACTCGTGAGCTGTTTGGAAAGAAAGAAGCACGGTATTGGCCGGAAAGTAACGTTCGAGATGATTTCTCAGAAGCTGCAGGAAATGGACGAGACCTTACTCGTTCGCAATTGGCAGACCCCTGTTCGCTTTGACCGCCTGAGCGACGATCGAAAAGATGAGCAATTGTACCTCGACATGTTACATTACATAGATGGGGTGCCCGACGTGGTTCCACCAAAGATCCCTGGCCGCCACGCGCACTGCATATCGCCCTGCCTTGATCTTGCGGGAAATAAGATCAACTGGGAACAACTGGAGAGAAGGAGCACGACCATAGCCTCTCGCATCATGAAAGACTGTTGGACCGTCTACGATAAGCAAATCTGCCATGAGGCACACATGTTGTATTCGGGTAAAAGCATCCTCATTCCAGGTGTTCAAATAGTGGACGACGACCAAATGACAACAATCCTCAGTTTGCTGAAAGAAGTGCTGGTGTTCCGAGAGCTTTTGCCCATTCTTCCTCAACTCTCGTGGCTCGTTCCACACGGGCCAAAGTGGGTGGACTCTTGCCAAGGGTTTTGACGGATACTGCGGATTTGAAAGAAGTCTAGTTGCATCGTTTGGTATTAACTTTTTTTGTATGTTAGATGAAGATAAAATAAAGCATGGACCTGGACAATGATCGTCTGGTAGTACAGTCTCGAAAACGGGCCTGGGAATGCTACCGAGATGAGACCGAGGCATTTTCGGCGCCGAAGAGGCCGATGTCTAATTTCGGCGTGGCTCCATATTCGGGTATTTTGGGCGCGTACCTGCAAGATAGAGAATACTCCAAGTATGATCATGTGCGCGAATTTGCCTTGAACCACGGTCCTTACGACGTCGATCCCTTCATTCCCGCTGACGAGGAAGAAAACCCGGTCACTCAAGACGTGTGGTTCAATAACTTCGGGCCGCTCGGTCAATCGACGATAATCGGAGATGGAAGATTAGTCTTCAAGTACAGGGGTATCGACGTGCTTCGACGCATTTCTAAGGACGACCCTTTTCACACGGTGGAACGCGTGAAAGAGGACAAAGTGTTCTTGAAAGGATATACGATGAAGTCGAGCGATCACGCTTACCGACAAGAGCTCTTGAGGAACTTGACTCAGGATTACCAAGTAGCCCCTACCGACGAGCCTCCTTATGGAGGGCTGACGACTGGCCTCACCTTTGCCGATCTCAAGTCGCACATCCGGGCATACGTGTCGAGAGTGAAACAGCTGAGGCGAACGGTGATGGCTTCAAAAGCCGAAGCGTTTGAGCTGGCCGATCACCAAAAAACCATCTATGGATGGAGTCGCCCCATTACAGTGAGCGGTGGAAGTCAGGCTGCGGCCGGCGTGGAAGCGTTGCTGTCATTGTGCATGGGTCCTCAAGACTTGTACGACCTCTTTCGGCCAATGGGTATCTGTTCCACGGGAAAGCGAAAAATCGACGTGGAAACTGACCTGGTAACGATCTTGAGCGGGGGAAATGGGAAAATGGGGATAACGTCTTTGGACACTTCGACATGCGACCGAGGAGAAACGGCACCCTTTTGCCTGTGGCTTGTGTACCAGCAAAAGTATTCGAACGTCGTCCAAAGCGCAAACCGCCACTTGGATAATTACCCCGACGTGGACTTGGTGATGACCAACAAACCACAACGTGCGTTTCTCCAAGCCTTTATGTCAAACGTGGGAAATGCGTCGTATTCGAGTAGAAATAATCCACGCGAGATCACGCCTTTTATTTTTGTGCATGTGGCCATAATCAGGTGCAGCCAGTATCCAGATCTCGATGACGAGACAGATGTGTATATGACTCTGGCCGAACAACATTGGCCGATTGTTCTCTTTCCTTTTCGTCTGAAGACTTGATGAAAGAAATAAAGTAAATTCCCAAAATTGATCAACAGTCTTTGCATAGGTTAACACTAACTTGGTCCTTTTAGAGGGAAACAAAGTTGCCGACTAGAAACAATAATGGGATTGGGATCGAAAGTGGCTACTACCCTTTGCGAACATGCCGTACTGACTCGCACTGTGCAGTTGGCGTGGCCAAACGATACGCCGAAGCAAACGTGGGGAAATCGTCACATCAACGCCGAACCCCATGATCTTTTAGACGTCAAGAAGCGAAGTGACCTTGCCAGGATCAAGACAGTCATATTCGACCTGACGCAACTAGTTTACGGCTTTCCTAAGGCAGGTCGGGAATGGATACGTTCTCATTGCGACACGCAATTTGTGAGCTTCGAAGGGAACACTTTGGAAGAGGTGCTGACAAAATGCATTGACGGCGGCTATCATATCGGAACGGTCGAGCAGCTTCCCGACAAACGTTATGCAGTGCACGTCGATACGTTCAACGACGAGATGTTGACGGGGTTTCTCTTTGATCGTTTACTAAGCTTACGTCGAGGCTTAACGGCTTTGCTGCCGGATCTCGTGGCGGCCTACTACTTGGTGGACGGCGACCGTCCGGCTGCCAAGAGCATCACGAGTAAAAAGAGGTCTCTAGCCAAGTCCAGGTCCGAAGAACACAAACTGCGTCAACGCGTCGAGGAGTTTCTGGGTCCCGATCGCGTCGGCTTACTCGAACCCACCCCCATTCAGATAGGTGGGCAAGAAATGTTGCAAGGATCGTTGTTTGATTATCTTCGTAGTAGAGACAACCTCTGGAGACTTATCGACTGCCTGTGTGAAACGGTGGAACGCGTGGGGGGGCAAAACGAAGCTGACGTGGATGTGTTCGTGGCAAGAGGATGGAACTCCAGTACCGATTCAAGTAACCGCTGGTTTCGTATCGCCGGCAATAGACCCGAGAGCGCACGTCCTTTGAGAGATTATTTCAGTGGAAACGTGGACCTGGAAGCGGACGCCATGATGATCCGTTTGGGTCGGTTTGCCACCAACCGCCTAAACGGTCCTTCACTGTTGTCGACGACCGACTCTGACGTGTTGGTATCAATGATCGCCATAGGCTCGCCAGAGTTGTTCTGGGCCAAGCAACTCGGCTTCAGAGATAAGAAAAACGTGGTGGTACGCACGGTTCCCGCGGATTCAAAGACCAGGTCATTGTTCGTCCCTCATCGCATAGATCTGCGGAGTATCGATCCTTTAGAGGAACCAGAAATATGCAACGATCACCTCCTGCCTAAAGTGGAGAAAAGTTTCCTATTCTCTTCGTGTCAACTGGGTGAGACGTCCAAGTGGTCCAATGCGGAAGCCGAACGTCGATTGTGCGCAATCTTTATTGTGTTGTTGAACGGCTGCGACTTTTGCGAGGATCTGTCCTCGTTTGGACCTCGAGGGATGGTACGCTTGTTGAGTCAAAAGCCCAAACTACGCAAGGTGCACTTCAGTCGCATCACTTCCATTCACAACATAAACAAGGAATTGGAGCATGGTATGCGACGCGAATGCCTGACGAGGTCGGACGAATCGGTTCGTTTCCCATGGAGATGCGGGGAATTTGTGTGCCTCGTCGAGGTCGATTTCGAAACCATGAAAATGTTGATACGAGCGGCCCTTACTCCCAAACCGATAGAGGGTCGCGATTGGAGACCCTTCATTCGTCGCCTGTGTTATTCCGCCATGACATTAGCGGCTACTGGCATTGGATTGGAGAAAGAGATTAAGGTCAACGCGCAGTTGGCCGAAAACTTTGGGTACGACTCGACGAGGGACTTTGAATACATACAGTTCGAAGATGAAGAATATAGATCCATCGAAAAGAACAAATAAAACAACAAACACGTCTCACGCGTGTCCTCAAAGGATTCGTTGTATGTTTAATTCAAACAAAGCAAACAATTTTGATACACGATAAGATATGACTATGGCTTGATTTCTTGGCCTTTAAAACAATACCGAAGGAATTTGGGTATGCGTTGCTGCTCAAAACCGATGTAAACGTACACGGCGCCTTTGACCAAGAACCTATTGGCAGGTCCTCCTTTACAATCAATGACAACAGTAAAGGGTGTATTGAAATCCGTCTCTGGTCGCGTGAGAAATGGGTCTGCAGGGACCAATAGAAGAGGATGGACCTGCACCTTAAAGACCATGGATCTCATACATACGTATATGATATACAAATAGATATAAATATATATATATATATATATATATATATATATATATATATATATATATATATATATATATATATATATATATAAGTATATATATATAGTTTACCGTAGTGAAAGTAAGGAAGAATCGTTTATTATTGGCACAAAGTGTAAATACGTGAAAGGCACGTTCGATTCAATTTGGGGAAATCCGTTCTCAGTACAACGGTGCGGGCGAGAAAAATGCATCAAGAGATACGAAACGTACGTCAGATCTAATGAATTTTTAATGAGAGAGATTCCCTCGCTAAAGGGCAAGACTCTGGAGTGTTGGTGTAAGCAACAAAAATGTCGCGGGGATGTCTCAGCAAGACTCGCAGACGAAAGCAAGCAGATTGATGGTTTTTTTTTAAAAATAAATATCATATCATTCTACCCGTCCATTTCCTGATTTGGATCTGTTTTATTGGCCCTTACAATTGCGGGATATACAAACATTATTCACGTCGTAGCCTTCTTCAGTCACTTGCAGAGCCTCTGTGAACGTTAAAACCGCAAGCGTTGTGGTTTGCACGTCGGCTCCGGATTCAACATTGCGACAGGGGCGAGGTATCCGCGTCAAATACTTGGGAAGGACATCCACAAATTCGAGGTCGTGATACATAGAGAAGTCGTCAGTTTTGATCTCACAACCTTTCCTCGTCAAGAGAGGAAAGTGGATAGACTGGATCCGGCATACGACACACATGGGCTGACCCCAGTGCCATCGTACCTCGTGCTTATGGTAATCGTTATTGTCGAGATAATCGGTCAAGGTGCGATAGGGTGGCATTTCGAAAGGTCGCTTTCCGTGAATTTGGACGGCAAGGCAATCTCCGTGCCAACCGAGGCATGGTCTTAAATGCATGGGATTGTACACCCCGCGTCGCTTAAAACACAAGGCGAGTTCGAGGTGCTCGCGAGTCATTGGACGCCCGACGACAGATAAAGAAGTGGGAACATGCCATCCATCGGCTGTAGCTTCATCTCGGAATAGGGGTGCCATGGCTTCTAGATGACAATGCACTGAGACATTGTTTAGAAGATGCCTGACGTCGCGAACCGTTTCGTCGTCGCATTCTCCGTCACCACCGACAAACCGCTTGATCGTCGCGGTCTTGTATCTCTGAAACCATTCGGCATAGTCTAAACACTTGTCGGCATCCTTAACCAATTCTTCTAGGAACGCCGCGTCCTCGATACTGGTCGGTTGAATTGTCAGCGTTGCACAGGCCGTATGCAGGATGCGTCTCCTTCGCATTTTATTTGCATCATCAGTGGCATGAAGTCTGTTGCTCTCTGGAATTGTCGATGGAGGAGCTCGTTGTTCCGTCTTGCGAAGCTTACGGGGTCTCCGTTTGAATTGAAGGTCGCCTGGATCTTGGCAATCGAGGGAACGTGGTGAAGCCTGTACGATAGTATTGGTGATGGACAAATATCGGTCGAATTGATCCCTCGTCGACGGGCAGAGATAATCGGAACGGTCTGGCGGAAGAATATTCATTCTGTATCTTCTTTGCCCTGATACGCCGAAAACGGACCGACGTGAATCGTCTCTAAAGGGTCTGATTTTCCCAAGAAATTCATTGTGTGGAGTACTTCTTTGCGGACCCGCTCTACTTTGAGACGTTGTTTCTTAGCGTTTTCCAACTGCGCGCGCAAGTGGTTGCGGTTTTGAATGTAGCAGACGAGCGACGACTGTTGTTCGAGGTCATTGAAAACCATAGACTCTTCGCTGTCGATGGCGGTGGTCGACACTTTTTTCATGGCTTGAATCAAGCGTTCAGAGGAATTTTGCGTATACTCGATCAGGTCCTCGTAATATGTTCGCAACGCGGGTAACCGTGGACATTGATCCGTAGACTCGCTCTCGACGTTTGCTCTCCATTGCTCTATCCTTCCGTCGTTGGCTCGTACCAATCGACTGATGTCCGCCTCGAGTTGTGTCATGGCTTGTTTTTGATGCGACAGTCTTTCCCGTTCTGTACCTAACTCTCTTCGGATGTTACGTTCCTCGGCGATAGCGTATAAGGCTGCAGAATGACGCCTGGTCTCTGCCGCCAGGGGAAAACCGTACCCTGCACTCAACATATTAGAAAGAAGGGCGAGGAACTGGAAGAGTGGTGCGCGCGACTTGAACCACTCATTGTACCTATTATCCACGGTATTGAGCGCCTCTTCAAAATTTTCAATCTCCAAAGGAAGCTGTTTCATGTTGATGATGACTACTTCACGGGACGAGACGCTTATAGGAAACTCGGACTTCACAAACACAGTGTCACAGGCCCTGAGGCTCAAGCGAACCGTTCGCGAATTGAACGAGACACGGGCAAATGTTGAAGTGCTGAGAGAACGTCTAGATGCTGCAGACAGAGCTGCTCGAGATGCGTCCGTGCAACACGCGGCGGACATGGCTCGAGTGGAGGGCCAACGGGACGAACTTTCCGGCCTCTTGCGGGATAAGACGGAAGAGCTTGCCGCCGCAACCGAAAGGATTGAAAAGGTTGAACGGGAGTTGCAATCTGCCACCGACACCATCGAGCGATTAAGAGAAGAAGTCGCCATGAGGAACACGGATCCGCTACACGTTCAAGTGCGACACGGTAACGCTTACGACGCCCTACTGGAACAGGCTGTGAAGAACTCTGGAAAACAGAATGCATTGGTGGAGCTGTATCGCAATATCGAGACGCATACTTCAAACATGAGGTGGCAAACGTTTTTAAACGAAACGGCATTGAATGTTCGCAACCTCTTGTCCGTTTTCATGAGATGCGACCTTTCTAAGAAGCTGTCCGAAAAGGCAATGGTGGAAAAAATGTTGGCCGAGACAGAGAGGCTACAACCACCCCTGATCGGATACGCGCAACGGCACTTGGAATTCGAGGAAAACAAGAAGAAGAAACTGACAAAGGTGCAGATGCAAACCTTTCAGACACCATTACAAAAGGCCTTGGAGCTACTGGCCAGCGCTTGGGTAGAAGACATGAAAAAGAATCAGTCAAACGGAGTCATGTTTTATTGATCAATAAAAGCCATGTCAAACCATGCAAATACAGATGCCAGGCTCGTGTCTCTAGTCCACTCTCTGGGGTCTACAGCCTCCGCCGGAGTTGTGGAAAGCCCACGATCAGTCACGTTCATGGCCACCCAACCGGCAAAACTCTTGGACATAAGGCGGTTCGTCGAAAAACACGCACAGAGTCGCACTAGCTGCCCTAGACGCCAGTGAGCAAAGTCCAAGAGTATGACAGTCTTGATACTTTGACTCTCTAGCGGAGCATTGTCGGTTTTCTTACGATAGACGATCGAAGCCACTTGTCGAATGCGTCGGGTTAAGGTGGCGGACATTTTTGTGTCTTCGGAGGCTATTTCGATCGTTGCTAAGTCGTGTGGCGTCCTTTCGAAATGTGATAGCAAAACACGATGATCCGGAGAATCGGGGGTGATTGTAGAATCGTACACCATGATATATTCGTTCGCGGGACGTACCATGATGCGTGCGAGCAGATCCTAAGGGTCTGTATTGCGAGGGACCAATGTCAATCACCGTGCGTCTAGGACGGCACATGGCCTCCAACGACGGGAGGAGAATGCGATAAGGACTGAAATAGAATCGTCTGCCGTTCATGTCATGCCATCTCGCAATGTCGAGTTCCACCAATCGTTCCCAAGCTCGTCGATCAACTTCCGTGAGGGCCTCGTGCAACAAGATTGAATCCACGTTGAAAAGAAGGTGGAAACAGCCAACAAGAGCCCGTTCCTCTTCTGTTGTAGGCCGGTCCACTTCGCACAACAATCGATACTCTTCGTCCGAACCGCCGTCAAATACTGGCATCAGAGTGCCAGGGTCGACAACTCGCGTTGCATGGAGAACGTGTCGGCGCTGGGGCGATGGGCGACGGCTTCGTCTCAAAAGGTCATCCACCCATGCCAAAACTTCCATGCGACCTAGCCTGATGTCAGCGATAGATTCCTCTTGGTCGTGCAGGGAATTGACCAGTTCCCTCTCAAGTGATTCCCAGAAATCAAGTCCGCCCGTCTCGACCCAACATTTTCCCGTTGTCGACGTTTTGCCTTTATTTTTTTCCATGGTTTTCCATAACCACGAGACGGCCTTTGTCCAGGCTGCAGGTTTACAAGTTTGAGGAACAAAGACTCGAAGGGATGATCGAAGTATATCGGGACGAAAAGAAAACGCAGGACCTATACTTCCACAACAGGATCTAAGGCCTCCATTCGTTCGCGGATGTAGGATGGACACGTAAAAGGGGTTGGGTTCGATTCCCAGAGCAGAGATCTGAGTGGCCTTAGAGGGAGTTTTGGAGTCTTTAATGGATATCACGGTCGCGTGCAAGGCAGAAGTGGTCTTTTTTTTGCCTTTTCCAGACGTCGATCCGCTCAGCGTTCTCAACAGAAACAATTCGTTGCCCTCGATAATTCGTTGGAGATCATAGGCGCCATCTCTTATTTTGTCTGCTGGAACAAGACTCGTACTCATCGTCGCTGTCTTCGCTGCCGTCGTGTTCAGAGTCAGTAGGTACTCCTTGGGCGGTAGCAACGGGCACCACGGGTTGAGGTACGATTACAGCTTGCCCTGTTCGATATGGATCGGTATCGCGATATTTCATGGTTATATCGACAGCTCGATGACCAGTGTTGCACATCAACCATAGTTTCATGCGCCCCTTGCGAAGAATGCGATCCATGAGATGAAAATTACTCAGTCCCATGGATTGTTGGATCGGATGCATAGGTGCCATGGGTAATTGCTCTCGAGACAACCACGTTGACAACACCTGGTGGACAATAAAACGTTGCAGAACGACGCTTTTCACAGGAACGGAATCTTCCTCCGTTGGATCTACGGCAGCCACCAAACTTCGGGCAAGACCTTGTCGCGTGCCCACGTCAGTGACGCCTTTGGAATATTGTACACCCAATATCGTTCTCGTCACCTCTACTTGATACAGTCTTTCGAACATGTCGTAGTTCAAAGCATTGGGACGCACGTTCAAGTGAGAGCCCACGTGATTGCTGCCCTCTGGGAGTTGGTATCGCACGGGTAAGTCCACGGTTTCGCTCCCTCTCCCGCTGGCGTACATTTGCAACAACTCTTCCAGCGCCTCGTTCTTCTCTTTAAGCCTTTGCCTGTCGTGATTATATCGAGTCTTGAGGCGGTACAATTTATCGGCCATTTCCTGGTGCGTTCTCCGTACTGTGCTTGCCAAGAATCCGCTGCCACTCAATTCTTCGGCCCCTCCAAACGCACTACCCTCGGTCGTCATGACAGCCGCCAACTCTGCGAGTCGCATAGCCGTAGAGGTACCCTGGTTGACCTGGTCGCGGAGCATGCGTTCTCGGAGTTTGGCCCTATTTCGTTCCATCTTCTCTTCCTCGATCACATCATCGCTTTCCTTGCGCCCCGGCATCTGTGAAGTAACAATGTATGGCCGAGAGGCGATCATCAGCGAACGGTCGTGTGCGTGGCGAAGACGTTTGAGTTTCTTATGCAAAGGTAGAAGCATGGAGAGGTCACTATTAGGACATTCCTCGTCTGTCAAATGACGAAAAAAGAACAATTCGAAGGGTCCCGTGTCCGTCTGTTGATCTATGCCTCGACAGAGATATTTGCCCGACGGTTGGAGACGCACCACGACAAATTCAAGGGGCACATACGGAACGACTCGACCACTGTCGTCGAGCGACTTGTACCCTAGAGGCGTAAAACCGTATCTGATGAAATTGAGTGTTGCCTGGTTGATGCAGCGTTCCAGGTGCGGTAACAGTGTCGCTTCAAAATCATCCCTTAGGTTATCGATCTCTTTCAATTCGGCCTCTATCGTTTCGTCGTCGTCGTCCGTAGAGTGTTCACTAAATTGGCGAACCAGTCCTTGGAAAAACATGTCCATCGGGTTTAGACCGTTTTTAATTAAAACGTCGATACAACGCCGCACGTGATGATCTTCCTCGGAGAACTTTTTGAGTTCCTTGGTGTAATCGGTAGGAAACACGAGCACCATGCACCCTCCCTGTTGTTTTTGCAATTCATCGCGATGAAGCCGGTATAGATCCGCAACGGCTCTTTGGCGTCTGGTCTCTAACAGTGTGTTGGCATAGACCACACCGTCGACAACAAACGAACTCGGTACCTTCAATCTCGTTTGGAAGTCTGCCATTTCTGTAGATCGCTGATGCCGTCGCGAAGGTAAATGGCCATGCCGACGCCGCAAACCTTGCCCCAATAAAGGCCTCGGTTGCTACCCATGCTCTGGACGATGAAAAACTCAACGGCGACGTTGCAGAGGAGACTGACCGACATCATGGCAAACGTCGTCAACATGTGATGGACGCGACCGTGAAGGAGAATGTACACGAGGTTACAAAACGTGTATTCCGACATTGTCACGAACGTGCACATGCAAACGAGAATGGGTGTCAGTGTGGGATTGATCGATCGTAAGCGGTCAGGCACGGAATCTCCTCCAACGTCGTCTGAGCGATGGTCAGCGGCACCGACGTGTACCACTAACGCGGTCAATAACGCAATGATGAAAAACGCGACAACTTGCTGAAAATTAGACAGACGTTTTCGATGACTGGTTTCGTTGTGCACTCCGTGCAAGGCGTGAACGAGTTCGAAACTCGTACCCAACATTTCCTCGGTGATTACCAACTCGAGAGAGATTCTTTGTCGATTAACTTTGTCGGGCACTTCCGGCAAGCCCTGGTAAATGGTATTAGTAGATTTTGGCGTTGGTGCACGAGTTTCTGGTCTCACACGTCACCCCAATACAGAGCAAAGGAAATGGATGAGGTAATGCTGGATTTATTAGAGAAAGAAGAAGCCTTGAGTTGTACCCTTGTCAAGGCCGACAAAGCCATAGAAGTCACCACCTCCTCGCTTCCTTCCAAAACATCCACGAGAACATTATGCCATCTTGACGCAATAAAGACGAGGGTTCAGGAAGGACTAGAAGAAGTGACCAAACAGCGAGTGAAGGCCTACAATAGCTTATCCCTCTCAGAGGTGATGCAAACATCCGTGTAATAGTAATGGTAATAAACAAAAATATCAGTGCACCACCAGATCCTCGATGCATTCTATGCCCATCTTGTTGTAGCATCTTCTCCAGTTTACTGGGACTCGCAGATGAGGTCGATTACAAGACAAGTGATCCACGCCGCGCTTGTCTCTAAGGCGGCAATGCATCGTCTCGACCGATAGACGATATACTTCCATAGACCACTCGACTTTGTCAAGGCACATCGCGTGAGATGGGTAGTGGTCGTTCAACTCTGAGAGCGTCTTTAGGAGCGGTGCAAATTTCATCAGACGACAATGCTCAGGAGATCCGGAGACGACTGGGCCGATGGGTAACACGCGCAGTAGTGGGGTGGAAAAATGCAGCACTCTTTTGTTGGGGTAATTTAAGGCGAACGGTGCGGGTTCCGCAAAAGCTGCCATGAGTTCTCGCCTCGGACGCATGGCTTGAAGCTTCAACAGGACTTCGTCGACGCGTTGTTTCGTATCGACGGTCATACCACGTCCAATAACCGTATCCACGAGGACGGTTATTCTGACCTCCCACAAGTGCGTGCCCCATAACTCATGAGCAATGCATGCGGCGACAAACATAGAGGTATCGTCCACTTCCGCCTCAATCAACCGTTGGAGTTCCGGAATCTTCTCGCTCTTGGTCCATCGCCCGGTCTTTAGTCGCGTCGTCAACAACTCGATGCAAGGGTTCGACCATCCGTCGGACCGATCTCGACCATCTTTCTTTATGCGCCAGTCTTTGCCCGATTCGACTAGCTGAGCAAAGAGGATTAAGAGTTTTTCTGCAGGTACGTCTGTCAGATCATAGAAGCCTTGCTCCTCACTCGTAGTAGCATCCACGACGGTCTCCATCGGGGGTAGATCCAGCCTTTTACAGGTGCCGGTCTTGGACGCAGTAAATTGCAAGAATCCGTCTTCCCACACTTTAAGCATAGATTCGGGACGGAATGCGGAACACGTCAAGTTTCGACTGGCCTCCAACACGAAGTCTCTGTACGATCGGGAATAAAAGTAAGCAAAGAATATCAACCTCTGCCTTTCGACCGGCATGACTTTCGTGCGTTCGGGTTTTTCGATCTTCGCCGTTTTCTGCTCTTGTCGGTTTCACGAGCTACTTGTACTGCTGCTAGTTCAATAGCTGGTTTGACTTGGGCATAAAACCAACCGTCGTTGCGTCTTATGATTTTCTTGCGGATTCCACCTTGGTAGCTTTGTAGTAGGACTCCGCGGTCGCATTTGGCCAAGGTCAAATAGGTCTTGAGTTGAATGATCTCGTGACGACCAACGGCTCGAAAACCATGCCGGCGATGCTTGATCTCCAAAATGCACGTCTTCCCCTTCAGATCGCGGAAGCTGGCATCAACTCGACCGATCAAGTGCACCCTTAAAGACTTGTGTTTCGGGTGAGTCCACGTTCGTTGGTAGCATCGCTGTCTTTCGCGAAATTTGTAGGCAAACTTTGCCTCTAATTGGTCGATCACCTCATTCTCCATCGCTTTCCCCAGTTCGGTGTCAACGAAGGAAGAAATAATCCGCTTCGTGAAATTCACGTTCATGCCTCTGGCATCGGCTTCGATGGCACCCTCCGATGATGTCAGCAAATCCTCACCCTTCTTTCCATCCGTAAAAGTCTTCGGGCAGCTCTGGAGTCTTTCCACAAAACGTCTTGAAGCGGGAAGACAACGCAAAGCAGCAAACTCGTCGAACCTTCCATGCGACGAGGATTTTCCAGGGCGCCAACGGGCTCCTCCTCTACGTCGAATTCTCTCAAGCGCAGCCCGTCTAGAATCAAAAACGTTCAGTTGAAGAAGTGCAGCTACGTCGGTAACTGCCACATTTACGAACCTCATGATGTCTATTGTTGCCTTGATTTTTTTTTATTGTTAGTGTGTGATAGATTGACTACTAGGAATACTCACGGGCTCGATCTAACCCCATATATCTCTCGAAGCATATAGGGATGTACTTTGGTCAGGCGTCAGCACCCTCTGGGTATGACGAATATTTCGATCCACCACTGGAGGAAGACCACGAATGTCCGATCTGTCTTTCGGGGCTGCGAGAACCGATGCAGACGTCGTGTGGGCACAGGTTCTGTAGAGACTGTATATTATGGAGCTTCAGATCTGTTAGCCACTCGTGCCCCGTGGATAACGAAAGGTTGGACGAGAACTCGCTCTATCCAGACAACTTTGCTAAGCGAGAAATATTGTGCCATGACGTTTTCTGCCGAATGAAAAAGGAACATGGTTGTACGTGGAAGGGACCCCTAAAGACGTTAGATGATCATATGAAAGTCTGTGCTTTTGTCGACATATGTTGTCCCAAGAATTGTGGGAAACAGTTACAGCGTAAAAACGCGAAACAACACTTGGAAACCGAGTGTCCTAACAGAACCACACGATGCGAGCACTGTGACAAAGAGGTACACTGGAATGGCCTTGAGAATCATTTTCGAACGTGTCAAAATTTTCCGGTGCCCTGTGGACAATGTGGACGACAAAACATTGTGCGAAAATTGATGGAACATCACTTGGACAACGAGTGTCCCGAGATGGAAATCAAATGTGCTTTCAGCGTAGTGGGTTGCACATTCGAGGGAAAACGAGCCACCGTGGAAAAGCATGTCGATGATCAACTCGGAAGTCACGCCATGGACTTAGCAAAGACGTTTGGTGCTTTCTTAGCAACCCAGAATTTGAGAGCTGAATCACGGTACAATTTACCAGAAAGCGTGAGTTGCGTTGCAAGGGCCAACAACGTAGCCTATTCATGCGACCCAAAGGCACCGCGTCATCAACAATTGAAAGAAAGTAACGAGCTGAAGCGTACGATCAGTGTTGTCTCTGGCGAGGTCGAAAACCGGGAATACGCCCTAAACGGGCCCAATTCGAGGCGCCAAAGACCCCTGCAAGACCTCGATGCAGTTGTTTGGCAACTTGAGACAAAATTACTGGAATTCGAAGGCCGTGTCTGTAACGGAACGTACATTTGGAGGGTAGAAAATTACAGACAGCGTCGACAAGACGCAATTGCCAATACGATGTCAGCCATGCATAGCCCTCCTTTTTACACCAGTTTGTACGGCTATAAGATGTGTCTGAGGATGAACTTGAACGGCGTGGATAGTGGCTTGGGGAAACATATTACCTTATTTGTCCACATGATGCAAGGGGATTATGACAACATTTTGGAATGGCCATTCTCCGGGAAAAAAATCACCCTCTCCATCTTGGACCAGTCGGAGCTTCGTTGTCATAAAAGTGAAACTTTTTTCGTTAAGGCCGGCCTTGTTGCTTTCCAGAGGCCCACTGATCGTCGTAACTACAAAGGGTATGGCTACGTCGACTTTGCCCCCATTGACGATATTCGTGAACCTCGGTATGTAAAAAATAATACTATGCTTGTTGGCGTTCACATTTTTGATTAAGGTTTAATTTGCATTATACATACATATATTATATATATATATATATATATATATATATATATATATATATATATATATATATATATATATATATATATATATATATATATATATATATAATATAATGTAATACAGTATAATATGGTATAATAAACCATACTAGACCGGAGTAAACAATCGATATCACTTGCAAAGTGTATTGAAATGGCTCTTTTATTGTCTTTTACACATCGAGGGACTAGTGAAACTCGACATCGGATGAAGAGACCAGCGTTTTTTCCGCCATACTAGAAATCAAGTCATTTGCAAAAGACGCCAGGGCAGGGATGACTTCGTTAATCCACCATGCCTTGTCAAAGGCGAGCGGTAAATTCATGAAGAGTTTTTCCCCTTCGAATAATTCGATAACGTACCCTTGCTGTTTCTGCGCAAGAAAGAGATAGGTTTGCAGTTGAGCAAACTCAGTGGGGCTAACATTGGGTTTTCGTCCAAAACGCGTCTTGATCTCGACGACTCTGTCTGTTTCATCCAGGCAATCAATACGCCCCAGAATAACTACCTCGACTTGTTCGTCAGAAGATGACCATGCCAGTCTCTCGTACGTTCGTTGCGTGGAACTACATTTGCCAATGCACGGGTTGGCTTCGGCGATGTCGATGGCCAGCATTTCGCTGTTTTTGCCCATTTCGGTCCTAACAAAACCCCGCGCCATGTCGACCAACTCTGTTCGACCGTCGTCTGACAGGGACGTTTTTAAACGAGCGACTAATTCATCAAACTTCGCGTGATCCTTGATGCTGTACTTTTGCCTTCGAAATTCGCGACCACTTTTCGTTAGACCTATGGCCTTGAGAAAATCCAAAGGTGGACGACAAGTGTCTGGAATACCATCTTTATCGATGCGTTCCCACACGCGTTTGATGACGTCGAGGCGAGAACAATACGGATTCAATCCGAGGATGCTACCTATCTCGGTAGCGTACAGGCGTATCTCTTGGCGAGCTTTGCTGGACGATGTGCTGTCGGCCATGAAAGCTGACGATACAGTTATGATGAATCGGTGACGGTCAGGGGAAGTCGTCCGTCGACAATCACGTTCAGAGATACAAATTGCCAGCCGATTGCCAGGATAACCGCCATCACCAAGTCGTCGCGAGTAGAAGATGTTTTCCCCGAGTAACAGTCTCGCGCCGCGTGATAAGTGAAAGAATCCATCTGTGTCACCAGTTCTTTTAGAGTAGCCCGAATAGATTCCTGGGTCGGAACGAGTTCACTGAGATCGGGCAAGACAACGTTGGCGATACCGTCGTGTTGAAGCCCCCTGGGATGATCCAGATGAGCCACGATCTCCGCCACCGATTCACCCGCAGTCTTGAGAATTGCATAGCGTTCTTTGATTATTTCGGTCATAGTGGAGAATTGGTCCACAAAGTATACGCATCTGACAAGTGCCGATAAGGTGTGTTGTACGAGAGACTTCTTTTGACGTGTTGTTATCCCTGGTAGGACACTGCCCTCTACGCTTCGTGTCTTGACCATGTTGATCGTGCGACCCGTGTTGACATACTTCATCTTAATCTCCAGTTCTAGCGCTCGGCACAGATCCTGTGTCAAATTATTTTCGATCCAGATGGTAATTTCGGCCCGCTTAAGAATCGGATATAACCGTTCGATATTTCTCAGGTTGTAGAGGATCAGGTCACGGTGAATGGCCGTCATGTACCCTCCCTCGTGGGGTTCCACGTTGTACTGATCGAGTGCCACAACCTAAACGAAAAAAAAAACAATCATTGCTTTGCAGACCATGCAGCAACCACCAAGAGACGCAGTAAAAGCCACAAGGATCCTTTGTAGAGATCCCGTGCAACTCTTTCATCCTACGCAATATGACCGCGACTGTGTCGCCAATCGCGTCGAAGAACTCGTGCTAGCCGTCTACGAGTTACAGCGTAGACACAAGGCTTCCGAACTCAGACACGCCGCCGAATGCCATGAGACCGCCATGTGTGTACTGGGCTACGATCATCCTCTCGCGCGTCTAATGGAAGACGACGTGGATTCCACGGTAAGACAAAAGACCATCGAATATTTGACTCCGAGTGATGCATGGTCGTCACCTCCTCCTAACGCTGCCTCTCCGTGGTTGGATGCCCTAGCGGTCATGTGTTGTGAGACTGGGAAACCCCGTAAATTCGCTATCCTCGTGGAGGCATTATGGCATTCCTCGGCAATCAAGACCGAGCGCGGTACCATCTGGATATTGTGGCTTTGTGCATTATCTTGCTTGGTTTTCCCCTTGGATGAGACCCACGTTCTAACTCGGCCGCTGATCGACAGCGTGATTTGCACTCTAGCGCGCAAAACTCCGCCAACGTCCAGTTTCTCACCAATTGAGGAATGTGTTCTGACGATATGCTTCCTGGCATCGAGGAGAGACGAATGTGGAACGCTGCGAGTTTGGTCGTCGGAAAACCTTCAAGACGATCGGGATCTCCGTCTTGAGGCTCTTGTGAAAAAACTACACAGTCAAATCGCCGTTGGAAAAGCGAACTGCCGAGAAGGCAATGAGCTACTTACGTAAAAACATTGTTGCGTCGTCTTCAGTAAAATGCATAACCCGATACCACTGGTTTTACTTGCTGCCTGGACGGGATCGATGACTACTGCCACGGTTTGCACAGTGTTGAGCACCTCGTCCGTCAAGTCCATGCGACGGTGTCGGACTACCTGGGCGATGAGGTTGGCCGGAAACACTGGTTGTTTAATTGCACCCTCGGCACAGGAGTAACCCATCACCTCTCTTTGGTAATAACCCTCGACTAACATTTCCATGACTCGCTCTACGAGCCCTTTGCGACCTGGTTTGAGATCGATGTGTCCTGGTCGTAGATAGAAACGATGAACGCACGTTTCTGTTTGACCTGCGCATGCATCGCACACCATGGATTGGTGAATGCTGTAAACGTCCGGAAACTGCATCAAACGCATCAACCAATGGCCACTCGGCATAGTGGAGCACAACACGGTCATGACCACCTGACGATTGATGAGATAGGCCATGGTCGATGCCACGGATTCTTTACGGTTGAAACCGGCCTCGTCAATCACAGCCACGTTGGGGGACTGGCCTCGCCCGCTCTGCAACAAAATAAAAAAAACGACCAATAAAAAGTCACATTATGTCTTAATTGATATATCGTTATTGTTTCTAGTTGGTAAGATCATCAATGAAAAACAGTCATGACAAGCGCAAACGCAACGACAGCGACAGCGACAGCTACAGCAGCAACATCAACGGGGATGACCCAATCGTCGTGGATCGAGGCCACGGTCGACATGAGTCAGGCTATGCGTCCATCGCCCCCTGTTAATCTGTTACAGCAAGTCAAAAACCATCGCGATTGGGTGAGCGACGAATACGTATTACGGATGGCAAGACAGAAATTTGGAGTGTTCACCAGCACGCACGTGACTGGAGCGGCAAGATCCGAACAATGTCTTGCAAAGGACTTCGTCTGCGTTCACGAACCGCTGGGAGTGTTCGCGTGTCTAAAACACATGGTCGTGCATAGATGCAACGAGTCCTGGCAGCAGGTGAAAAGATGGATTGACCTTCCCGATGGCGAGTCTTCGTTGCGATGTCGTAAGATTATGGTGGGTGCCTCAAACGAGGTCAGTTGGTGTTGTGCCGTTTCTCGTAAACTTTTACCCGATACCACTGCTCTCCAGATGACGATATCTTCCGTGACCACATTGAACGATCTGGGAGCGGTTGTATACGGAAAGGGACAGCGAGAAGACAATGCATACTCAGGAAGGCTTATTGGCGGTTCGGTGAGGCGCTCTGGGAGTCAGAAACGGTCGTTTGACGACGCCTTTGATTTGTACACAAAAAGACACGATTTATTGAAACAGACTATCAATGCCGTAATCACAGCTTTGATAGATACACAAAAACGGGCAAATTACAACAATCTCATTCGACAGCGAGCGGGCAGATGCGAACCCCTTCATTTGAAGGAATTTGTGCCTGGCATTCAACTGCTGCTGCGGAGTCGTCTTTTAACCCTTTGCGAGCGCCTAGTTCAAGAATTGGACGTGAAAGTGGACAAGAAAGAAATGAATTCTCTAGTGTTTTTTGCACTTGGTATCACGGTGCAGGGTCGCCAATTAGGTCCCGACATTGTCGCCCCTCGTCTTCCTGCCCGAAACTTAGCACCGCTACCGATCGAGACCTTGTTTGAACGAGCCTTTGGTTTGCCACTCTCACAGTATTCCAAGATGGCTACCAGGATACAACGTTTGACAGGCGATCCTCGTTTTGCTCACAAATTGGGCTGGTGTGCGTCGGCGTCACCTGTTGGTTAGGGTAGCAGGAACTTGTCGAGCAAATTGTCGCCTTCTTTTCCCTTTTCATCTTCTGTTTCCTCTTCGTTTTTCTTCTCTATCGTCTCCGCAGAGCAAGAGTAGACGGGATCTGTGACCTTTGAATGGTCCATGTCTTCGTCTTCGTTCTCTGGTTCATCGTTCAGATCGCTGTGGTCGATGGATGGTTTGGGTGAAAGCGGGGGCGTTGAGGGTATTTTAAAGTGTGCTTGGAGAAAGTGTAACATAAACTCGCACACCACTTTTGGAAGCTCGTAGCGAAAGAGAGACGGAAGACTTTCCATCGAGTGTGGTCTGGTAAGGAAGACCTCGTATCGCTGTGAAACATAACTGAATAAGTGATGGGCATCGCTCGAACCACTTAGGTTGGTGTTCCTTTCTAGCAATTCAAGGTGTCGACCGAACGTCTCTAAGATTGGCTCAATAGAACAAGAATCATCCATGATTGATTTCTACGACAAATAAAACAAACACGTATTAGTAAGGTACGTCTGAGTCTTATAGTAGTCAATTTCGTGCGATCCCATTATGGCGCGTCAGGCGTCACGCTCATCCGCATCGTCAACGATTGTTGATCACAGTAACTCCACACTGCGAGAGTCCTTCATTCTGCGTGGTCTTCGTTTTGCATCAACAGTCATTGGACCAAGTTTAGTCGAGGGCCGAATCGGACTCGTGGACAGAGTAAACGAGATACAGGAACGATCCATCACCAGTGCATGTGAATTCATCAACGACGCTAATCGCCTGGTCCTGAGACTCGAATCCGGTGATGAAGAAGGGCTCCAAGAAGCCTTCAGGTCTTACGTGAGAGGTTCGACGTTCATCACCTCAGCCTTGTTTGGCCATAGGACAGATCCAGTGACATTGCCTGTCAATTTCTTTGGACACTGGGCTCATGTGCAGAGCTATGATGAGGGACCAGCCACCGTTCCCTGGTTCATCGTGGCCGTTGCGTTGGCCTGGTGTCGATTCGTAGGAGAAATGTGGACGTCTCATTCCGAGAACCCTCACCTGGCGAACGAGACGAGGTGCACTTTGAGGGAACTGGGTGTTCACACCAACAACGAATCGCTTGTGAGGATGCTGGAGAATGTATCAGATGACGAGCTTCGTCTGTCTATCGACCATCTCTTGAACGGGGAAGATACTCGCAATGCCCTTGATCGATCCATCCAGACAACGCTCACTTTAGTCAAACAACAAGTGGAACCCATGTTGCAAATTGATGCGGGATCAGAGATTCAGGCAATCGGTAGATCCTTCGTCCACACAATGGAAACCGTAACGACCCAGAGTGCAGGGACATCCAATGAATTTGGTGAATATGTTGGACTAGAATTGATCGGACCATTTCGATTGATGGCGCGCATGTCTCTGAGACCTGATCTTGGAACGGAAGAAACACACGTTGCGGCTTTGGAGCAACTCCACCATCGAATCATGCAGGAAATGAAACGTTCGGTAGACGCGTCGCGCGCTGCTGGAGAAACAAACAAGCTAGTGGCACGTCATCGCGAATATGTTTGGGGAGGAAATGTCAACATGCATCCGGCGGTAGTTGACCGAGTGGAAGTGCCATCGAATGATGGAGCATCAACCTACCACCCCTCGACACTGGGTGGATCATTGAACGCTGATCGAGATTTAGACTTTGGTGATTACGAAGAAAATGAGCAAGAGAAGAAGAAGAAGAAGAAGAAGAAGAAGCAAGTAAAATGGAGGAAGAGGAGAGTGACCGAGACAACGATCAGGCAATCGATAGGGCAATCCAAGAAAGGCAACGAATGAATATCACTGAACGGGTGTTCGGGCTGGTACCAGTCTCAGGAGAGCAGACACCACTGGCGTTTGACGAAGATTCTACATCCACGTATGCACCGTCCTCCCTGGGAGGGCTCTCAAAACCTTGGTCCCGAGGAGCACCATCGATAGCCAGTGACCGGTCACTCTTGGTACCTGTTGCCGACGCCATCACAGAGCGCTCAAGAGACACGGGACCCGTCATGATTCCCGCAGAACGAACGCTCAATTTGATGGACGAGAAAGAATCAGAATATGCGCCTTCAGTTTTGAGTGGTTTCAGCATGGCACAAAGAACCAGGTCGGCCGTAGGTAGGTTGGATCGTGCTCCATCGGTCAGGTCCGATGTGTTACCCGACGCACCTCTTTTGCCGCTCTCAGGCGAGGAAAGAATGGAAGACCCCATGGATTCGGTGATATTGCAACTTTCTGCAGAGATGACGGAACAGTGGGCAGCCAATGCATCGGCATCGACGACCGAAGACGAAATGATCATTCGGGAAGGATCAACGGTCGCTTCATTGATGAATGACAATGAAACTTTAAGCCAGCAAATGTCCTCTCATCGCGCCGGTGAAGAGGATCTGGTCTTGAAACTGACTCAGGCTCATTCCGAACTGGGACAAGCCACTGCAGCGCTAGTTGCGAAAAACAGAGACATAGCTAGGCTAAACGAGACGATCGAGACCGAAAGAGAAAAGCACGACCGCGATGTAGAGCAGCTTCAAAGGGACTTGGAATCACAATCAAAAGTTGCAAAAGAGTTGAAATTGCAACTCAACGCCTTGTATGCTCGTGCCGCGGAGACCACACAGTACGTGGATACGATACAAAGAGAAAGCGCCGAAGCCATGAAACATCTGAATCAGGAACTGAATGCAAAGTCGCAAGATTGCCAAACTATGCGACAAGAAGCAAGAGAACTCACTGAGGCCGTGGACAGAACGAGAACCGAATTGGACTCCGTGGTACACGAGCTGCATGCGACCCGCCAACAGAATCAAGCGGCGGTGGCCGAACGAGATCGATTGCAGGCTAGAGTGATGCAAATGACAGAAGAAGAATCCAGTCGCGATGCAACGATCACCGAGATGGGCGCCACTGTTGGTCAACTCGTGGAAAACAAACAAGCGCTGGAGTTGCAAGTCAAGGTTTCCAATGAAGAGAAAAACCGACTACAGGCTCGTCTGGAAGAACTCCAACAGACAAGAGAAATGGAGATGGAAAGAGCTAGGAGCACGTTGGAAGAACTGTCGAGGCGTAACAACGATCTAGAGGACAGTCTTCGGAATACGCTGAGTCGAACGGCTGCCCTGGAACGCACCGTTGCTGCGGATAGAGAAGGCCAACAGGTTCAAGCGCAAGAGAAGGACAGAGAACTTTTGAGGGCAGAAGAAGCTCGTCAACAACTCGAGACGGCCTTGGAAGAGGCGCGGATAGAAGCGAATGAAACCCAACGAGTCTACGAACAATTGCAGTCGACAATTCTGGAGTTACGTCAGGTAGTCGGACTGACCGACGAAAATGCCCCGGCCACTTCGTCGATGCTTTCCGATCAAATAAAACAAGTGACTACAACCGTAAAACAGCAAAGAGGCCAGAGAGATGAAGCAATCGGTGCAATCCGTAGACTTGCCGACCGGTTAAGCGTGGAAAATGGGGATACCACTCTTATCAGTGAAGTAGTTAGACAAGTGATATCAAAGATCGACGACCAATTCCGCGAAGTAACAGAGACACATCGTGGTCTTGTGGCCCTCGTGAACAGACCAGGAGCGACTAGCGAAGAGAGAAGCGTCGGAAGCACGTCTTTGTCACAGCTGGTTCGTTTGGCCCAGGCTCGTGTTTCGGAAGTAGAAGAAAGAGCCGAGGATGCGACCCGTGCCCTTTTGGAGGTGGCCAGAATCACAGGAACGAGAGAAGAGGCTGAAGTTTCCAGCCAAGAAGTCATCGATCGTGTCACTCGAACGACTGACGAGAAAATGGCGATGCAGCGCGGATTGCAAGAAATAGCAGAAGTCACAGTGGTAACTCCGCCATTGGAATTGATCCGATTGGCGCAGGCAAAATTTAGGGCGCTTTCAAAATTAGAAAAGGCGTATTCGGAAGAAGTGCTATCATTGCGACGTCGCAGCGACCTTTTACAGGAGTCTCTTGACAAAGCACAGCTCGACTACGAGCGCGAGAAAGCCAGTAGGCAACGGGAAATCCGCCATTTGAGAGAACAGCTCAATCAGCTAGAAACACAACAGTTGGAGAGGTTACGGGAAGCAACTCGCGACCACGAAGAGCGACAGGACCTCGACAAGTGCCGCGCACTGCTAGAAAATGCAACCAGGGATCTCAATAGTATCACGGCGCAAAAACGTCTCGTAGAGCAAAAGTTGGCCCAGAGCGAGGTTGAATGGGAACGGCAATTGACCGAAGTCAATGCGGCTTCTGCGCTGGTGGAGGAACAAATCAAGGCTCTGAAGCAGCGAATACGCGAACTCGAACAGGCCTCCAGAGATCGAGATGTAACGGAGGTCACTGCAAGAACAGAGAGTGAGGCTCGAGAGACAGCGCTGCGACAGGAGGTGATACAATGTCAGGAACGTTTGGAATTGATGCAACAAAGACTTGATCGAACGACAGTGGAATACAGTCGTTTCCAAGAAGAAGTAGAACGGGAACGAGCTCAGTGGCAAGAGCAAGTAGAAACTTTTAATCGACAACTGGCCGAAGCTGCTCCTGGAGAAGCAGTAAAACTGCGCCTGGAACGCGATCAGCTAAAGCGCGAACTGCTAGATTTAAACGCTCGGTTAAACCATCTGGAACAAACCCGAACGGAGCGAGATCGACTGGAAGCTGTCAACGAACAGCTAAGGCTGCGCTTGGAGGAATGCGAACGGCATCGTAGCTTCCAGGATGATCTCGTTTTAGAATTGAAACATCAAGTCGCGACCCTAGAACAAAGAATACGCGAGGCCGATCGTGTCGCAGCGATAGTGCATCCACATTTGACGGAGCCGGAATTTCAAGAGGACGAAATTCCAGGGTTACCTTCGTCGTCACCAGAATGGCAGCCAGGAAAATCTGAGCTCGATCAGAAGTTACAACATCTGGGAGAACAGATAGCGAATCGGGAGTTGGAAGTGTTGGTTCTCGACGATAAAGTGGAACAATACAGAAGTCAGCTAGCCGATATCTTAGATCAGATCGAGAATGCCGAGGTGACCTTGGCCGAATTGAGGGATAAGATCGAGTTCATTTATCCCCAAGATTTACCTCCTTCGCTGGGCGACGACGTTTCCATTGACAGTGGAACACCACCCGTCTCGCCCGTGTCTCGTTTTCCGATAGTGAACTTGGCCGAATGGAAGGAACGCTTTCCCTCCGTGAAACCGTCGTATCTTGGTGCCAAGCGATGGGTGTTGGCACTAGGCGAGTTGGAAAGGAATAACAAAACGTGTAACCTGAGTTTACTTGACAATTTAATCGATCCTCGAAAAAGATTCGTCTACGAGGAAGACTTAAAATTGATCCTGCGAGAGACTCTAGCATTTGTAGTTCACTGGGGAGGTGCCAATCTGGAACGACGAAGACAGCGCAACAAAGCTTTGCGAGGGTTGGATAATCTACAGCGTATCGCATTGCAAGCCAAAAGGCACGGTAACGATGATGCCTTTCGATTGGCCATCGTGTGTGAGCTGGTTCTCTTAGACGGTCATGACATTGCCTACGAAGGCGCCGTCTTGCAAAGATACTGCGAGCTCGTGTTGGAACTTGCAATGGCAGTGACATTCCGCTGGCGCAGTTCTGATGCACAACAAAGGCAGCGGCTGATATTCACAGAACGCGATCTTCCCGTCAACGATTCTACGGCCATCGTCGTTCGATTCGCGGATTCAGTTTTTCAGACCTTTGACAGAACCATGCTCATTCAAACGCTATTACCGACCTTGGTGCACGCAAGGCAAGGGATACCCATCGATGTGCCAGTGGTAGCCTCCAGTCCGCGAGCGTGGGTTCCTCGAGAAAGCCTTTGGGGCGAATTTGAGGATGAGGTACCCATCTCTGCACCAACGTTCTGGGTCGAAGAGCAACTCGACAAAGCGGCAATGCTAGTGCCGGGATTGGTGCATGTTTTAAGGGATCAGACGATCGACCGGATGGAAGAAAACCGTACCTATGTGCAACTCGCGAGACTAGACCACAACCACGGCGGCCGAGAAGATTGCATACTTTTGGTCGGACAGCGAGATTCGTGGGTCGTTGTGGATCCTCTGTCGACCGAGGAAGAGGACGTTCCCCAGTCCAAAGGGTTGCTACTTATTGGGGTCATCAGAGCACCACAGGGGGTCACTTGCCATATCGACAGAGGCTTTGCACTCATGACATGGATTCGAGAGGTGTTCGTTCACGGCATGTCCCTACAAGGTGTAACTTTCCAAGGGGAATCTGATAAAATTAGATGCACCTTAGAGCATCACTTCAAGTGCATCTTTCACTAACGAAGAAAAAAAAAAGAAGGCTATGATACCTTCCTCGGCCCGTAGAGAAGGAGAAAAAGAAAGAAAAATAAACGACAAAGATAACCAACATGTAAACCAAAAAAATAACCCGTTTATTATCGGCGACGTCAACAAGCGACGAATGCGCGGTCATGATTGCCACCACATTATTGACCGTATCGTTTCTCCGAGTGTACTTCCAAGGACCTACGACCCATTGGGGAATACAGTGCGTCGACTTCGATCAAACGGTGGATCGAAGACAATCAGTGTCATTTGATCAAACCTACCCACTACCAAAACTCGTCTGTGCATCATCCAATCGGCGATGTTATGCAAGCGATGCGGCCCATGCCATCGTGGCCGAGACAATAATCGTAGACGGTCGTCGTATCCCATTGCGATACTGGCCTTCCGTCGACAGCATTCCCGGGGACGGACGGTGGCCATTCTGTTTCGGGAAACGTGGTGCTCGTTACGGAGGTGTTAACGTCACGGCAACGTGCGGCCGCCACTCTGAATGTCTAGACGTTTGTTTTGCAGACGACGACATCTCACCTCCAATGCTCGTGTGGTGTCATAATTCTACGGTGAAAACGCCGGTGCAATGGGAGACAGGTACCCGAGATGCAGGATGCAAGCCGTGGGCGAATGGACCCCCTCGAAACGAAAGCATGGATGTGATCGAATTAGACTCACCACTGTTGATCAATCGTGCATCTGGTACCAACGTGATTGCACGACATGCGAGTCAGTGGATCGTACGTCGGAACGAAGGGATCTGTCTCGCTCCAGTGAAGTGGTCGGATGGATCTTGCCACGTTTTAGTCCACGGGATATGTTACCAATACGATGGCGAGGCCAGTGTCCGATGCGTGGATCTCGTTCCCTTTCCACCTGGATCGGTTGTGGCATTGACCTGGCGTCCCCGGCTGGTGAGAACGTCGTTGCAGCCTCTAGAAGTTGACACGACCGACATCTACTGTCTAGAATTGAGCAATCACGATCCGGCAAGGTTCTTAGTATGCTTGGAGAAACTTGGTCCTCTCGCAAGAAGGGGAATGGTATCTCTGTCGCCCTTCGTCTTTTACGGTCGACCTTCGACGGTTTTCATTCGCGTTGCGCCTACTAGGCGACACGGCAACGAGCAAAGATGGGACTTTACAGGATGGACGGGCGTCGCCATCACCTTTGCTTTGGGACTGATTGCTTGGAAAGTGATAACCATTGCAGCTTTGCACATTTCCTCGCAGGTGTGTTTTGTCGAACGGTGTATCACAGAGGTAGTCCGACAATTAGGGTTGAATTATTAAACGGTCGCTAGCCACCCGACTTTGTATGCGAGGACCATTGAAAGATGTCTCACTCCAGATACCAGTCGGTACCGACTCATCCCTGTAACACGGACGATTCGTGTCAAGAAGTGGACGAGGGACCCCTAAAGTGGCCCGATCGAATCTGTCGGTCATGTCCGTTGGTCACCTTTTTTGCACTGATGCTGGTAGCAGTCTCGCTGGCGATTACATTGTCATTATCCCTGTCCAAGACTCCCGGTATCTTCATCGAGAATACAATCTACAGCGCGACATGCATCGAGAATCTTTGCCTCTTTGGGTTTTCAGACTACCCTCGTGACATCCCTTGCACGGAGGACCGACATTGTGCCACCTTTTACGATCCGTGTGCGTCTAATCCTTGCAGCGCCGAGGGAACGGAAAAATGCGTTCGTGGTCCAAAGGGTGGTCATGCCTGCATCTGCAAGGAGAGATACGGGGGTCCGCTCTGTGAAAATAAAATACACCCGTGCGATTACGAAAACCCGTGCTTTGGTCAAGCGACTTGCGTGAAGCATCCAGTTGACCGAGAACGGTTTTCGTGCAGCTGTCAGTTGGGCTGGATGGGAACACGGTGCGAATACAGATCACAAGACGGTGATACTTGCACGACTAGCGGCCATTGTAACAACAGGGGTCAGTGTCTAAAACGTAGCTCGCGAAGGACGTGTCATTGCTCGTTTGGTTATCACGGTGTCCATTGCCGACACACCGTCGACATGGACGACTGCCTAGTTCGACCTTGCAAGGAAGGCGGACAGTGTATCAACCATCAAGACGGTTACAATTGTTTCTGCAAGTTCGGACGCGCTGGGAAGCAGTGCCATAACGTGATCGATTTTGTCGATTGCAGTAATCATTGCCTCAATGGAGGAAGGTGCGACTCTGATCTCACAGGGTCACCCGTCTGTAGGTGTCAAAAAGGCTACGGGGGAGACTTTTGTACCGTTCGCGACGTCTCCAAGTACCGGCGCTACAAAGGTGGAACGATCTGTAAAAGTCAGAGCAAGGGGTGGCTGCAGTTTCGCTCTTTGCTAGGGCGATGGTTTTTGATGGCCCTCAAAAATAACACGTATAATCCACCAGATGCCTGCGTACAGTTATCGTTCGTCGACGAAGCCAAAGATCTCAAAAACGTCCGACCTAGAAACGGTTCACTCGCCATCCGGTATATGGCAAAACGAAACGACACGTCCTCTCATCACAAGATAGAAAAGGTAACGATCGACGAAACACGGTCCATCGTGTATCCTCTGGTAGGAGACGTAGGAGAGAATGGAATAAGAGGAGGCGGAGGAGGAGCAGGAGAAGCAGCAAATGGCACCGTCGGACTCATGATAACAGGACGTTTGGTACGACTGTACGCGTTTCCCTTAACGAAATTGGCGACTCATGACGAGCAGACGATCGATTTTGGCGTGGTTTATTCCTCTGAAAACTTCTTAGTCCTCCATTCATGCATTCAAGATAAAACTCACGGCCATTTTGATTCGCTCTTAGTTCTGGGAAGGGAAAAAGACGATACCGTAAAACTTGCCATCGTCTTGCAAGAAGTCTACAAAGAGCTGCCATATGTTGCCGGAAACATGGTTATGGTGGAAAGGGATGAGGACTGTAAGGACTAGGAGTGGTTTTTTTGTGGTACATTTTTAATGAACCAAATACCTTTGTAGATTAAATTAAAGCATCAATGATTATTGTCAAATGTTGCCTACAGTTATAACGTTGCAATGTCCAGAGATGAAGTCCCTTCAAGTTTGCTAGACATCGTTGGGCCTACTTGAATCGTACAATATTTTCAGACCCCAAGGTTCGCTCAATATGCGAGAGTTACGCCAAACAGCGAGAAAGTGGTTCAACATCTCAAATTGGCCGATTGCATCCTTCATGGGCGTTTTAGGTAATCGCCTAGAGACGAAAAATCTCGCACTACCATTTGACTCCATCATTTCCAAGTAGTCGCGATTGAGCTCCACAGTCATGTTCAGTGTTTCTTCCACCCTTCGTCGTAGCCCCCGGTATGCATTGCTTCGATTCCTGGCTGTCATTGGCACGATCCATTCAAGATAATCATAGTCGTGAAATTCGTTGGCATTATGGACACGAAAGGGTACTCCTATCCGCAGTCTCTGCACTTGACCACCCGCCTCCTTCACCCACGCCTTCAATTCATCCGCACGAGACAATATGCGTTGAACATGGATGGGCGTCGTCGTGTCTAGGGTCCACTGACACTGATACGTTATTGTAGTGTCCGTATTCCCATCGTCCCCCGTTTCTATTATTCTCGCTCTTGCGGGAGGATTGAGCCATTGGCAAAATGTTTCGAAGTTAGCGGGGCCCAAGCCATCAACATCTACGAGTACTTGTACGGGCAACATGGTTGACACACACAACAAAAATGACAACAAGATACAGGGCTTTTGGGTATAGATAACGTTTAATACAAAAATCAATTATCGTCGCTCAGTCTTGCTTTCTTGGCGCTCGGTTCTTCTCTGTCCGAGTTCTTCTGGTTACCCTCGCATTCTCCCTCGAATTCACGCGTCTCCTCTGTGGCCTCCTGGTCTTCGAAACAGTTGATTACATCGGCCTTCTCATTTTCGGGTAGATTCAAACACTCTAGGTACTCTTTTATGTTGCTGGTCGACAGCACCTCGTTGTTCTTAAAGGCGCTGATGCGCAGTGCCTCCACGTACCCATTGATCTTGACGTCGTACTCTGGTTCTTGTTCACCCGTGTTGTCACTGACTATGCGAAAGATGCGTATGGTCTCTGCTTTTAGCAGAGTGTTGCTCGGCTGTTGTAAATCTAAGGTCATGCGGGTAACTTTGAAATCTTCCTTTGGTTTCTCCAAGGCGCCGAGGGATACGACGGCCGAGACCACCGTCCGCGGCAACGGCCCTTTGGTTCTTTCAAAACGATGGTCAAACAACTTCTTCACTTGATCCTCTGTTAGGATGCATTTGCGGTTGTTGGTACAAAACACTCGGTCGTCTTTGGTGAATGTCAAGGACTTGGACTCCAGCACTGGCAAGAACAGGTAGTGATGAAACTGGCCGTTCTCTCGAAGAGTCTCCATGATCTTGTTCCACTTTGTTTTCGTACGCTCATCAGCTCCGGCGACGTCTAATACTTCTTCGGTGCTTTCTTCACTTGAGGAGAGAAAAGTGGCCCATCTGGAAAGAACCATCTTGGTTGTCATTTTCCACTTGTCACCAGATATGATCGTTCCATCACCCCACCATGCCGAACAGGGAAACAGCGTCTCCACCAGTCGTTGGTACACAGAAATGGTCGCGTCTCCAGGTTTCACGTCTCCCGATTCGAACCGACAACTGTGTGGGTTATTCATCTGATGGTGGATGATGCAGATCAAAGCTAGATACGTGACCAATTCGCTCTTGATCATCTCGAGGACGAGCACAAAAGGTAAAACCGCCCGATGATCCAGTTTCGTCCTCGCGAAGAGTTGAAAGTGGGCAACCTTTTTCTTGGGCGCGGCATCCTTGCTTCCTGTGTTGTACACCAGGTCAAAACTGCCAGTGGCGTACGTCTTAGACTTCTCGTAGGGTGTTAGACCGCGCATTTGCATCCTTTCAATTTGGTACTCTTGATTGTCCTTCAAGATTCGGTCGCGTTCTTCCAGCTCATCTTCATCTTGCAATGCAAGCGTGCCTCCGACACTGAGGAACGACGGACATGCCAGACCCACGCGTCGGTAAAACTTGACAGATTTTCCCTTGCGAAATTTCGTCAAGCGGCATACTCGTCCTGTCAAGATATTGCTTTCGTTGAACAGTTTTCCAAAACCGTAGTCAAAGAGAGGATAAGTCACCGACGAACCGTCTGGTCTGGGTTCATACTCCGTTTTGCGGATCTTTTGGACAAATAGGGGACTCAATGAGATATCGTCCGTCCCACTGAGGTGATTGGCATCCACGTCTAGCAATTCCCTGAGCTTTTGGTTCGACAGGTTTTCGAAACGGTCGTTGGTGCTGAGCTCGTAATACCCAATATTTTTGCGAATCGTTTGGACGACCATGTCGCTGTTCATGACCTCATTGACCACTTCATGGAGAGTAGTCCCTTTGATCGTTTCGGGCAACTGCTCCTTGGCCACTTTGGCGCTGCTCTGTCGCATGTATGCATTTGTGTAGACACTCTTGTCGTACCGGTAGTTAGTTTGAGTACCGTCCGTTGGCAGCATAATGACACAGGAAAAGTACAAGGGATGTACCCCCAATTGTGCTGCCACTCCATCGCCGAGATCCCAACAGAGACTCAAAGCTTGCCTCTGAGCCAATTCGTCGGCAAAATATCTTCCACCGTGGTTCTTGTCGGTCAGTACGTAATCGATGTTGTCAGACCCCTCGATCACGGCCAATGGATTCCCTGGGTGTTCGCGAATGACGGGCGGCGTCAGTTCATCGTTGCGTTTTCCTCCATGAGCGATTTTCCAATCGTCCATCTTCTTCACAAAGGAATGGTCTTTGCTGATAGTTATCCCAGGAAGGTAAGGTTTGACTCCTGGATTCAACGGACAGTAACGTGAAAAGAACTCGCTTCGAAAACATTGATCGGAAGAAGCAGCCATCGCGGTGATTCAATCTCGTCTCGCTGGGAATTATTACTAATTCAACAAAGTATCAACTTTTATAAGTGCGAGCTAGATTTCATCAATACTGCGATTTAACCAAAGATGAGTGGAGACGGTGACGGCATGCCGGAACGCTGGATCGAGCAACACGCAGGTTGTGCATGCTCTCGATTTACAGATTTTAGTGTCGCTTGTGGCAAGGAACTGGTATCCGGGATCGAACACGTCGTTCGAAGAGCCTTACCAGCTTCGACTGGCGTGCCGACCGTGGTATGGATAGACAATGGCGACACCGATGGATCCGTCGCATGCGAGGCCGAGTCCGGAAGCGAAGTCATCTACCTAGCCAAAGCTTCCTGTGTCACTTGGACGACCACTCTGTTGGCTTACGTACACGCGTTGTCGCACGTTTTGTGTAGAATGATATGTAACTTTCTTTGCGCAGAGGACGATTCTGGTCAGCAGGAGAAGGACCCACGCCATGGTGTGGATTGGAGACGAGCCGTGGACTGGATCGAAGCCCATCTTGTCGGTAATGCAAAATATCTAGGTGGGGAACACGGTGCCTGTATTCGCGCATCGATTATGGAACTGAAAAAAATGCCAACTCGTATCGAGACGATGTTGTCTGCACCCGCATTTTTGATGGAGGCTCAAGCCAAATGTAATCGCTACGATCTGTTCCTCGTTCACACCGCGCAAATTACCACCATGGACAGACGCCAAGCGGTCAATCGAGGCGATGTGAGGTGGAGATACCAGGATGAGTTTGAGGCGGTCGACACCTCCATGAAACCGAACGGCACCGTAGAGAAAGGATCGCTCGTGGAGTTGGCACTAGAGCTGAAACGCGATCACGATCCTGACTGCAAATGTAATAGTCATTACACGTATTCTTTATTGGAGGTCAAGTGTCTAGTCGAACGCCTTGTGAGAGAAATCTTGCCGCTCAAACTGCCGGTAGTGCTCGAGGATCCACCCAGGGTGAGATGCATCGTGTCATCCAAGCCTACCAAGAGTTACGTGGACAAGAGAGACGTCTTCTGCGTGAACGTAAACCGTATCGAGACTTTTGCAGAGGCCGTGCGTGTAGTGATTCGTGAGTGGGCACGACGGTTTGTCGTCTCGAGGTTTGACGTACGTGCCGACGTAATGTCCTCTGGTTGCTATCGAAGGGCCGTTGCTGGTTTCGCTTCTCTGCTCATCGATTCATTTCCCTGTGATGGGCTATTGAATAAGTGGTTCGCCAGTGAGGAGTGCTTGCGCTTGGCGCTCGTACCAGCACCTCTTTGGATCGACGGGATGGTGCCATTGATGCGACTGAGTCGAGAGGGAGCAGCGAAAGTCTTGATACATCGGACATTCGATGAGGTAGTGGCGCATGATCTAGATAAGTCTCGACATGACATTTTGTCTGCCAGAGAGGCTGCCATGCATTCCGACATAGAGGAAACGATGGACATGGACGAAATAACAGATTACATGTTGGCTAGAGCCACCAAGACCACCGAATCCATCGTGTCGATGATGCACACGTTTCGTTTAGAGAGCAAATGTCTGGGCTTTGCCATCGACTTTTTAGTATCCGGAAATGACACGGTGGCAAAAATCAAACACGATGCAATCCTAAAGATGACCCGCACGTGTAAAGCCTTTTACAACCCTTCTCTGTACGACGTCACTTTCGATGGAAATTACTTGTACGATTCCGAGGTTGCTGCTGATATTATCAAGACGTGTCGCACGATCAAAGTGGAGCCAATTTTATTGAACAAGAAAGTGATGAAAGGGTGGTCTTCCGCGGCTTACGAACCTGTGTTCGTTACGAGTATGACAAGCGCCCGAGAACTGTTGGAAAAACTGAATGTTCCAACGCCAGAATCGGCCTGCCTCGTTGTTAATCGAACGCACAAGGTCTCCGGAGATCAGCCCTTCGATGTCACGGGAGAATTACGAGTGTTTTCGGCAGGCTATGCTTTGATTGTGGCCATTCTCGAAGTCGATAACTTAGTCATCCGTGACAACATTTTCGTGGACGAACAAGACCTCCACAAACCGTTGGAAGAGCACCTAAGTCGTTGGCGACTAACGTATGGGATAGCAGGCGAGGTGGACTGCGAGGGGACTGTACTGAACGCTACCGATAGTCTAGAGGAGAGGTTCAATCAAAACCTGTCCCTCCTCGACGACGATGGCCCATTGCGCATCACCAACCGAGAAAGGATGACTAAGAATGACGTTACACTGCACAGGATAGGGGTGAAGGATTCCAAGGGAAAGCGATTGGGGACCATAAAAATCAGAGGATACCAAGCCATTGGAGGGGGGATCAAAGCATTTTGCAATTTTGTTAAGGTGTCACCGCACACTGTGCAAATGATGACGACTGATGGGCGTACCGTCTCCAACAATTCTCGAATCTATGAACTCTTTCTTGATAACGAACCCTTGGAACTAGTTTTTACCCGTAGGGAACCACCGACACGAGAAAGCCGAAAACGACTGCGACCTACCAAAGTCGACCATCATGGATCGACGAGAACACATCGCGAAGGAAAATTTGCTCACCCGAGACCAAGCGACGACGTCTTCTTCGTGTCTTCAGACTCTGAAGAGGAAGAAGATGACGCCTAACACCGAGTCTCGACATGTTCCGGCAGAATATGTCTCTCTTTTTGAAGGAAACATGGATCGGCTGAAGGAAGACAGAGACAGTCGTCTGGATCCCTACAGAACCGTCTTGATTGGAATCAACCAATTGCTAGTAGACGTGGCAGACTACATCGAGGAAAAACGCACCTCACAGACCCAACCTACTAGACAGATAGTCTTTCGACTGATGTAATGAACGACAACCACAAAGGGTCGAAATACAAATAATGTATTGACGTTTAGATGGTGACATTCCTTTTTGTTTTCTGACATCGAGGGGTTAGTTCATTAAGACGCTAGGTCGAAGACATCTCATGGAATTACTGAAGACAAAAGCCCCGATGCAAAGGTGTCGAGAATGGGTAGATTCCATGGCCGATCAATCATTGCCATTGATGAACCGAGAAAAGTTGACTAAACGAGACAACACGCTATGCAGGGTCAACGTGAAGGACTCAAAGGGAAGGCCTCTCGGGACATTGAAAATCAGAGGACATCATGCCCTCGGAAAAGGGATCGCAAAAATTTGTAATTTCGTTAAGGCTTCACCACACCACGTACAGATGATGACCGTTGATGGGCGTGTCGCATCTCACTCTTCTCGCCTCTATGAACTCTTCCCTGATTGCGAACCCTTCGAACTAATTTTAATCTCAAGAAAACCATCGAATCGAGAAAACTTAAGACGACTGCAACCATCGAAGGTCGTTAGACGGGTTGCAGGGACGACAACACGACGCAAAAAAGCAATCTGCTCATATTATCCTTAGTAACAACCTGGTGCGAAGGACGAGAGTCTTAGGTAAATTGAAACCTTGAGGTCATAACGTTCTTGGTCAGTTAAAACGCTGTCAACATGACATCTCATGGAATCGATGCCACGAAACCTTCACAGAAAGAAGAAGCCCTGGATTTGGAACTTTTATCATTGCGGATAAGGGCACTTTGCAAGACAGCGTCCACAATGCAAAGGTGTCAAGAGTGGGTCAACGCCTTACCCGACCAGCTTCTCGATAAGGAAGAGACAAAGACCGGGGAAGGCTCGAACAGTCTAAGAGATCTTGAAACAAAGAAGTTTGGCGAAGCCATGGACGTCTCCACGCTTGAACCTTTGACGAAAACAATGGCGAGCAACAATAAACGATGCCCGAAAGAGACATGTGTATAAACACGCAAACAAAAATACTTGCTTTTTATTTAGAATGATGTATATTCAGGACAATAATCTTGATACATAGAGTTGCAACAATAAAAAGAAAAAGATTGAGTACTTCTTGGTGCAGAGAAAGCATCGTCTGACAACTGTCCTTCTCTTGATATTAGTCGCAGACCATTCGTTGCAGACAATGGTACGTCGTGGTAACATGCCCAAGTGACCTCACGATGAATAGCATCAAAAATTGTTTTGAAGATGGTCGTGGGTGAATAAAAGAGGGAAGATCATTTATCGCTGACTTTCAGACGTTTTTTTTTTCGTCGTTTGCTAGCGACCTGATCCTGTGTCTGCTAATTATTGCTACTAAGAAAACCCAGTCTACTGGAACATTAGTTTTCTTCTAGTGATCGTAGTTAACTTCGTTGGGTACCATTATGGCCGAAGCGACAGCTGCACATAACGGAGAAGGCATATGGCCGCCAGTCAGTGCATGTCAATTGTCGAGTACTGACATAAGCATCATCGAGGAAGCGAAGTCTCTTGCTGAGGACTATATCTGGTACAGTTTATTGCGCAGATTCAAGCCAAACGAACTCATCGGTCTACCGCGAAAGTTTCTTGATCTACAGGCACCGCCCAGCATAACTTTAAATACCCTCCGAAGAATGGTAACTATAATTGAAGCGGACTATCCAGACGTGTCCCAGTTATTAAAAACCACGCTAATCATTACACCAGCCACAGCTTACTCTACGTTTGTTGACACGGCAGACGTCATTTTTCAAGGCGGAACAAATTGGGGCAGAATAGTGGCTTTTTACAAGTTTGGAGGCGCAGTGGCCCATCATCTGGTAGAGAAACAGAGATCAGACATGGTCCAACACGTGGTCAATTGGACGGTCACCTATATGGTCGAGAATCTGCTACCATGGATCAGAGAACAGGGAGGCTGGGATGCTTTTGTTGCTTACTTTTCTGAGCAAACAGACACCAGAAGGAAAACTCTGTTGGCTCTGGGAAGCATTTTTGCAGCTTGTCTTGCTTTTCTGGTATTTTACAAGTAATAATAATAATAATAATAATAATAATAATATAATAAAAGTAAAATAATAATAATAATAATAATATAATAATAATAATAATAATAATAATAAAAATAATATAATAATAATAATAATAATAATAATAATAATAATAATAATATAATTATAATAATAATAATAATAATAGAATTATGAGCAGTTGGTGTTCCGCTCGTTGGAGATAAAATAAAGAAAAGTTATCAATCTATTTTCTTCGTTAAGTAGACAGAGATGACGACACAGAAAAAGGATACACACAATCAATGCATTACACCACTTTTCTTTATTAAACAATCAATGCATGATCAACGTCTTTAACAACAATAATGATCTCCGTGTCGATATGGGCCAGATCGGGAAATTTGCTGAGCCAACCGTCTGTTCGAGTTGTACAAGTCGTCGGCAATTGGTTCCACTTTCTGCATCGATTGCTCCAGCTGCTTGACTCTCTGCTCAAGGATACTCTCTGACGTAGGGAAAAACGTCTCTTCTCCTTGTACGGCGAAACCGATGAGCAAGACGTCGTCTTCCCCATTAGGACGGGGTTTCTTGTCCACGAGGTCTGTGTCATCCATAAAATTTTGGATGGACAGAAAATGCGAACACTTGGCTTCGCGGATACCATACCTTCCAAGCTTTGGTATACTAAACGAGATAACATAAGGTTGCTTTCCGTTGATGCGAAACATGGCCACCTTGACACCCTTGCCAGGAAACGGCCATGGGAGCCAAGCATCATAGGGACCAGACTTCAAACGAAGACCAACACCGAGGGTTCCTCCCTGCCAAGATTCCTTGTTAGACACGTACATTTGAAGACATGCGCGGTATCCCTGATCGCCACCCAGTGATACAACTGGACTCTCCCAAGGCACATTATTTGTCGTAATATATTGCAGTGGATTAAATATGGAAAAAGTCCAATATTCACCTCGACGAGAAGGTTTCTGGAGCTCTTTGTTGCGCTGTGACAGCGTAGGTTGCACAGCTAACCCTTGATCCAGACCAGGCAGGCACAAAGATAGTTCCTCCATCCCTTCCTCTAATCTTTCTTCTTGTTGTTCGTTAGAGCATCTTGCTCTCTCCAGCAAATAATTAGCTCTGTTGACCAACTCTACGGCGTCTTTCGCTGATTCATGCATCGTACGGCGTGCTTTTTCTAAGTTCATCATGCACGATTGGATGGAGGAAGGTCCATTCTCTTCTCGTTCGTTGCGATCCATGCTTCGTCTTCGAAAACTTGTCCACTATACGTAACTGCGGATCACGGATATGTTTATATGCTGCTGGCAGCTGCTTCGTAACTAGTTTCTGGGAAAGCATAATTGGATGCGTCTGTGTCGGGGAACTGTGCCGTGTTTGGAAGAGTGGGAACTGTGGAGCCTGGGATTGGAACTTGACCCATACCAGAAGGAACGCGGGCTAGTCTTGCTGTCGGTTGCAGAGAGGCGGTCGGCACGCGAGTATTGGCATTGCCACTAAGGAGAGGCACATTTGCGCCTCCCATTCCCGAGTTAAAGATCTTTCGCCGCGTTGGTCGTTGGGTATGTTTGAATATCTGGTAAAAATTGAGGACGCGATGCAGGATATTTGCAACCACCACTAGAGCCAACACACCGGTGATGCGTTCTGTGTCGAACGCCTTGCAAAGGCCTTGGTCACGATGAGCATTGTTCAAGTGGCAGTGAATGATGGAGTAAATGAATAACAGCTCGAGGCCATAGAAGATGAGCGGGAAGAGGTGATAGAACAGACGCCACAATCGATGCAGCTCATCGTATTCCAAGAGTCTTGAATCGCCTCCTTCAGCAGTGAAGGAGAAGCAGGCCCAAATGAAACTGACAAAAACAATAAAGAGGTAGACGCCGAATTGGACAAAGGTGGGCAGAAAGATCTTGTCGATGCTGGCCAAGTGATCCCAGTTACGACCAACGGCTTCGAGTCCGTGTAGGAGTAGAATAATCTGCATGTAGACAAGAACTTTGGTCACCAGATGGAGAAAGTTGCTGGCAACCATGTCGTGCGTGATCCGGTTTTTCCGTGTGGGCCATACCCGGGATATGGCATCATCCATGGCACGGGGCAAGCTCAAACTAGCTGCGGCATCTCGATTGAGTTTTGTCAATACTTCGACCCCTTCATCGGCGGCGTGTTCCAACAAGCGCTCTGCTGAGTTCATATTGAATCGTTGCTGTTTCGTTCCCCGCTTTTGCTTAATACGCAAAACCGTTTGATAGAGGTATGTCGTTGATCAACCTTTCACAGCCGCGTTGATCCAGTGGCTCGATTCGTTGGTTCAAGGAACGATGATGCGTCTCTAGTGTCTGAGTCCAGTTGTGGGAACTGTTACTGTTCTCGCCCAGGATGCTGCGACTCTTCTGCCCATACTCGTGACCCTTGGGGCCAGGGTGATAGAATCGATCAAACATGCACATGCGATCGTTGGGTGTGATGTTCAAATAGTCATCTGCTGTACCAGGTGCCCATTGTGCATCGGGCTTCATACCCTCTTTGTTTACGACGGCTAGCTTCGATAAGCGCTGTAGGAGTCCGTTGTGTCCCTTTGACATGGAATGTCTCCCACTCGACCAGGGAGGCAACTGCACTTGGCCTGCAGAGGCGTTTTTAAGACGGCGGTTGAGGACCACAATTTCCGATGGAGCATTGGCCCTTGTCATCGGGTTGTAACTGTAAGCCCCTTCCATGGTGTGCAGAGGGTCCGGACGGTCACACATTGTGGTGTT